GGTTGCTCTCTATGCCATTAACATTCTAAGACTCATAAGTATCAATTAATTTAAAATTGATGATTAGTTGCATAAAATTACCTGGATTTGATGACAAATATTACACGGTTGTAGATGCTTCTTAGTTGAATAATGTATGCTATAGTTTACATGCTGAAATATTAGGTAAAACACTTATAATACGAGTGATAGTTGAAGAAACTCAACGCTAATATGGTGGCTTAGTGAAAAAGCTGTTTTTAATTAAATTTGGGTGACAGAAGAACTAAATCATTTAGTGGAGAACAAAATACAAATATGCAGACTCTATTAGATGGGTATTGTAAGATGGATTCTTCATTGAGGTTGATGAAGGAAATAATGATGCGGCCACAAATCCTTGGATCATCCAATTTGAGTTCAACTAAAAATTTTTTTAAGGTGATCCAGGTTTAGGTGATAAAGTTGCAAGCTTCTTGCTATTATATTTTTAGAAGCTGCCAAAATACATGTCGTTAACATTAACTAGATTGAGATAAATTTGAAATTTGATAAATTTAACTTGATCAAAGAATAAATTTGTAGTTGATTTAAAGCTTTCAAAAGTAACAATCCTTACTAAATTTTTTGTATGGTTCAGAAAACTAAGGATTGGTTGAGAAAATATATACAGCACATATTGACAAACTTGATAAATCTCTATTGGAGTTTCATTAACCAATCAATGCATATAAAAAATGGATCGTCGACATCAAACACACGTTTGTACTCAATTCAATGTTAGTAATAACGATGATAGGAACTCCTTTAGTAGCGATGCAAGCCGTCATTGTATGGGTGGATCGGGGCATCTGGTGCACGTGCCTCTACTAACTTAGGTATGCTCTATCGAGTTGTCTGGTGGAGCAGCCTGCCTTCATTCCCCTTTATTTACCTATTGAGGATCAAATGATTTACAAAAAAAAATAAGATCATAAGAACTGAAACTTCAGAGAGACCATTAGAAAATGTACCGGTAACTCGGTAACTCAATTGGGTTGGCTGGTGGGGAGGCCACCTCTAATTTTCTCATCTCCTATATACATACATACATAAGTGTATATATATACCCATGGCTAGGATGGGGATCCGTGGGAGACTCACCTGGATCACGTCGATCTGTTAAATCTGTCGTCCCTTAGCAGATTAATCCCATGGCTAGGATGTGGATTTGTGGGAGGCTCACTTGGATCATGTTGATCCATACTTAGGTGGCTGATTTAGGAATGATTATGTTAGGGAAATAATGCATGATTCTATAATTTATTTATTTCTTTATTAGATATTATATATAGATCTATAAATAGGGATAGATTTGTGTAATAAAGTTAAGCATTTTTACCTCTTCAATTCTTTGAATTTAACACGGTATTAGAACCATGGTCGGCCTTCATTGTCGTTACTGTTGCAAGATCATCGTGAGGGGATATACGAAGGAAGTAGAGAGGAGAAAGCGACCTTCATTGCCTTGCTAGAAATCAGAGAGTACAATTCCAGGAAGCCTTCATTGTTATCTAGGGTCTTGCAAATATCCTTCATTGCTATCATTTGACTCGCAATGTCTGAAATTAGTTCCTCCTAGAGCATTGGCCAAATTGAGGAGCCTATGGTGCACCAAGGAAGAGATCTCTAAAATATGCAACATTTCTTTCGCTTAAATGGGAAAAATTATTTGAAGTAGTCTCAATTTTTGAAGACTTACTTGAAAGAGAAAGGAAAGATACATTACCTCCTTGGAGGAGGACTAAAAGGACATCCTAATTTTTGGGCATGCGGTGAAACGGACTCCATGATTATGTCATGGTTGTCGAATTTCATTACTCCAGAAATTATAGATACTTTTATGTTCCTTTCTACTGCAAAGAATATATGGGATACCTCCAGGCAAACCTTCTCAAAAGCTCAGGTTGCTGCCCAAATCTTCAAAATTAAGGTCAAGGCGAGGAGCACTAAACAAGGAAGAAATATTGTAACAGAATATGCCACTCTACTTCAAAACTTGTGGCAAGAATTTGATCACTACAGAGGCATAGTGACAAAGTGCCCAGAAGATATTGCTATCCTGACAAAACTTTACTGAGAAAGATAGTGTATGACTTTCTTGTAGGACTAAATGTGGATTTTGATCAGGTTAGAGTTCAGATCCTTGGCAAAGAAGAGACACCTTCATTAAATGAGATCATTTCTCTTATTCGTGCTGAAGAAAGACAACGAGGGGTAATGTTGGAGCCAAAGGTTGTTAAAGGTTCAACAATGGTGACAACCAAAGAGGCACCATGGAAGGAAAAGTATAAGGACTCCTTCAAATATAAAGATAAAGACTCCCTTTGGTGTAGTTATTGCAAAAAATCAAGACATACAAAGGAGGCATGCTGGAAGATACATGGAAAGCCTAGTAAAATGTGGAATCAAAGAAGTGGACAAGATAGCGCATCACAAGCTAACATTATAACAAGTCAGCCCACCTCAAAAATGCAAGAAAGTGGGGTTGGCAACTTTGGTGAGTTGGGCTTCGAGAGAGTACATGAGGTGATGCTTTGGATGCATCATAAGAGTAAGAACTTGACAATGTTAGGTGTCTAATTGGGTAAAGTCGGCTCGGGTTTGAGTTGATATATATCTCACGAGACGGGCTTGATGAGCTAACGAGTCAAATTTGAACTAGTTCCGACATGATATGTTAGCTCATTAGTGACTTTTTTTAATAAATATTTTATAAAATACACTTAAAATATATTATAAATCAAGAATATACATATAAAGTTGTTAAAAAATATTTTAAAATAATATATCACTTTTATATATGTGCTGATTTCTTATTATTTCTCAATTAATTTTTTATTCTTTTTATCATTTTATTGTAATAAATGTTCAATCATTTTTTTTTCCTTTTTTCATAATACATTAATCGTTCAGAGGTGACTCAAGTTTGGTTTAACTCATTTACACACCTAGAAACGACTGTGAGGTTTAAGAATGTGGCTTTGCATGGAGGTGCAAGTTGTGTGCGAAGTGGAAAGAGCTGGTGGCTTGAGGGAGTTTGCCGATGTTATGGGTTGTTGGAGACTCTACGGTGTGGATGAAGTGGTGAACAGGAGCGGGCTATGGAGGAGGAAGCGACTGTGTTTCCTAAGTGTGTGCTTGTATTTTTAATGGCTTGGGATACCAGTGACCTGGTAGAAGAATGTAGAACAAGAGGAGGTTTGTCATTATGCACTAAATTGAGAAAGAGTGAGTGAAAATTTATGATGAGTTTTTTTAAGATATTCTTATATATTATGTTTTGTTAGTGCTATTATTTTGCTTGTGTCAAATTTTTGTTCTTGCGGCTTGCATGAGTAAAATTTTGACTTATGTGAAAATGTGACATGGGGGTTATATCTTGTGTAATTTTGATGTTCTGGATGTGTCTAGCATAGCCCATTTTGTGCAACAGAGGATGTTCGAGTGCTTTTAATGTGGGCAAAATGTTTTGATTGATCTCATGCGGTGCTAGGGGTGCAGATGAGTCGAGTCGAGCTCGAGTCAGGAGGTGTTCGAGTCGAGCTCAACTGTCAAATACCTAGCTTGAGCTCGAGCTTGATCTTGAACTCGATTCGAGCTCAAAAATAGAGCTCGAACTCAATTCGAGCTCAAAAATAGAGCTCGAGCTCGACTCGTTCCACCGTAACCGAGCTCGAGCCGCTCGTCGAGTACCAAACGCGGCCCGGTTCGCCTTCCAACATGCGTGTCATGATCCTCCAAAATATTAATTCGTGGTTTTTATTTGCCTTAAAACTGCAACAGGAGAGAGAGAGAGAGAGAGAGAGAGAGAGAGAGAGAGAGAGAGAGCCCTTTTTTCAGTTTGCCAGAAGGGAGAATGATTGTTAGCCGTTAACATTTATTACATATAATAGAGGGGCCAAATCATAGAGAAGAGAGAGAGAGAGAGAAGCGTTTGAGATTTCAGGCGGTTTTCCAAAAAAAAAAAAAGATTTCAGGCGGGATTTTGAAATTTCAATAGGTGATTTGTTAAGCTATCCGTATGGGCTTATTATTATTATTATTATTATTATTATTATTATTATTATTTAAATTTAATAATTCTTTTGAAAATCCTACGTTAATATCATTGATTAATTATTTGGTGCAGATGTCGAACGTCATTCGGAGACCAATCAAAATACATCACTTCACCCACCTTTATTTTATATCGTGGCTCGATATCGCTTATATTAGGGATGTCAATTCGGGTCAACGGGTCGGGTTCGGGTCGAACCCGGAACTGACCCGGCACTGTTCGGGTGAACCCGAACCCGACCAGTTTTTAAAAACATTAAAAGAGAAGCATAATAGTAAGTTAAGTGTGGTAGAGATAATCCATCTCAGGTGGATGAGTGGCTTTACCCTTAGAGATAGGATACGAAATGAGCATATACGTGAAAAGGTTGGAGTAGCTCCAGTAGAAGATAAGATTAGAGAAAGTCGCCTTAGATGGTTTGGTCACATAAAACGGCGGCCTTGCGATGACCCGGTTAGGAGAGTAGAGGTTTTAGATTTGACTTATGTTAAGAAAGGTAGGGGTAGACCTAAAAAGACTTGGTTAGAAAATATTAGGAATGACCTTTCTTTATTAGATTTAAACGAGAATTTGACTTTTAATAGGACACAATGGAGAAAAAGGATTCATGTAGCCGACCCCACGTAGTGGGATAAAAGCTTGATGTTGTTGTTGTGTTGTTGTTGGATACTAATCCATCTCAAAATATTTCTCTTGGTTAGACTCTGATTTTTCGTGTCCTAAGGATTCAGCGTTACTTTCAAGTTTTCACCTGCCCTTGGATGTTTTAGAGTTTTGTGAAATAACTCTAAATATTGTATTGAAATATTGACTTAAAGGCCACACCTTTCTCAATGCTCTATATGTTGCATCAACACGAAGTGTTATGGAATACAAACAATGATTTTTGTTACTCATTTTGAAATTCTCTCTTTCCTTGCAGATAAGGGATGCCAAAGGTAAAAGAGCAACCCTTGCATAATTTTGTACAGTGGAGTGAACAGCAGAAACAACTAGTGGTGCGCATTTCTCTCAAATTATATGAGTTCTGTCATTATTATATTATATTTGTTCAGTTGTGTGCTTTTTTGCTTTAAGCCCATATCATTTTGCTTTAGTCATGGATGCTCTCACTAGACATTTGCAAGAGGTTGTACCCTAGTGTATGCCTTTTGCTGATGATATTCTTCTTGTTGATAAGACGAGAGGAGTTGAAGGTAAACTTGAATTATAGATGTCAACATTAGGGTCTAAAGGTCTTCGTCCGAGTAGATCTAAAATCAAATATATATATTGTAATTTTAGTAGTACTAGATCTAGTGTTGGGATTGTGATTTTGGGCGTTCAAGTCATCAATAATAATATACATTTTAGATATCATGAGTCTATTGTTCAGTGTGATGGTGAAATAGATGTCGATATTATTAGTAGTATTCAAGTTGGATGGTTGTAGTGGAGGGATGCATTGGGCTTATTGTGTGATAGAAAAGTCTCCCTCAAACTTAAGGGGAAAATTCTATAAGATGGTGGCGAGACTTGCAATGCTTTATGATGCAAAATGTTGATCTTTAAAAGAGAAGCATAATATTAAATTAAGTGTTTTAGAGATGAGGATGCTCGGGTGGATGAGTGGCTTTACTCTTAGAGGTAGGATATGAAATGAGAATATATGTGAAATTGTTGGAGTAGTTCTAGTGGAAGATAAGATTATAAATGCATGTTATTGAGGCATTGTTTTTATTATTGTATAGATTTTTTGTTACTGTACCAATTTATTATCATTGTATTATTTTACTACTCATGTCACCGAATTATTATTGTTATTGATTTAAATACTAATACTATTTAATACTACTAATTTACTGTACTGATATTAAGCATGTGATATACTGAGCACATGATATAAAATGCTTGGATATCATGTGTATATTCCTATATGATTTTATTACATTAATTTGATTTCGACAGTCTTTACCGGTATTTTAATTTGATATTTTATATAATTTCTGTATTGATTGGTATTACTGATATGATCGATGATTGCTTTATAGATTTGAAACTCGTACTAGTTTACAATTTTATTAACTCGTATCGTAGTGTTTTATTATTTACAGATTCTACTACTATTGCATTTGAAATTTACTATTTATGCACTGATTCAATGATCATATGAATGTAACTGTTATGATTTAACTCTTGGCATGCATAGTGCTCATTTATCGTGCTTTAAATTCAGTTGTAGGTTTTGGTGACCTGCTGGGCTTTTTAAGCTCATTATATATGGTACAATGATTTCAGGTCAGGTCAGGGGAGTAGGAGTGCGAGGTTAATCATGATTCTTCATGTTCTGTTTCTGTTTTTTAGTTATTCTTTTGTACTCAGGATAAAATAGTTGTGATATGATTATGTAGATCTTGCGTAGTGTATATGATTTTTGGGAATGAATACAGATATGTACATTAATGTTTTGAATTATATAATCAATTTTTGTTTTTTATTAATAATAGATGATATTACATAGTTCTTGTTGTTATTTATTAAAAGATAAAAGAATAATTCTTCCAATTTAGATTCTGGACATTACAATATATGCAGGACTTGTTACTTGTGTTTATACACAAGGTGGTTTGCCCAATATTTTTCTATTTCAGTTGGATTATATCAAGGATCGGCCTGAAGCCCATATCCTTTTACTTTGGTCATGGATGTTCTCACTAGACATTTGCAAGTGGTTGTACCCTGGTGTATTCTTTTTGTTGATGGTTTTCTTCTTGTTGATAAGGCTAGAGAGGGAGTTGAAGGTAAACTTGAATCATGGAAGTCAACTTTAGAGTTTAAAGGCTTTCGTTTGAGTAGATCTAAAAATGAATATATGGCGTGTAATTTTAGTAATAATAGTTTTATTGGAGGATTGTGACTTTGGGTGATCAAGTTACATTTTAGATATCTTGGGTCTATTGTTCAGAGTGATGGTGAAATAGATGGGGATATTATTAGTAGAATTCAAGTTGGATGGTTGAAGTAGAGGAATGCATCAGACTTTTTGTGTGATATAAAAATTCCCCTCAAACTTAAGGGAAAATTCTATAAGATGGTGGTTAGATCTACAATGCTTTATGGTGCAGAATGTTTGCCATTAAAAGAGAATTATAATATTAAGTTAAGTGTTGTAGAGATGAGGATGCTTCGGTGGATGAGTGGCTTTAATCTTAGAGACATGATACAAAATGAGCATATACGTGAAAATGTTATAGTAGCTCCAGTGAAAGATAAGATTAGAAAAAATCGCCTTCGATGGTTTGGTCACAGAAAATGGTGACCTTTTAATGACCCGGTTAGGAAAGTAGATATATTAGGTTTGACTTATGTTAAGAAAGGTAGAGGTAGACCTAAATAGACTTGGTTAGAAAATATTAGAAATGACATTTCTTTATTAGATTTAAATGAGAATTTAACTTTTAGCATGACACAATGGAGAAAAAGGATTCATCCAGCTGGACCCACATAGTAGGATAAAGGATTGATGTTGTTTTTGTTGTTGTATGCTTAAATTGAATCAAGCAAAATTAGATTATTTTGAATTGTAATGTAAAATTTAAGTCACTTTGATTTAGTTGGATTCAGGTTTCGTTTGGGACAAGCTTTCTCGCTACTTTCTAAAGTAGCTTCATAATGTAAAATTTTGTAATTCAAAAAAAAAAAATTGTACTAAAAAATTGTTCTAGAAACCAATAATAAAGTTGTCCCAAATGAAGCCTTAGCGAGTCATCAAAACTAAAATATATATCCTTTGTGTAATTCCTTGGAAATCGTTAATATTGTATTATTGCTTACAATTCTTGCTTGTTTGAACATGTTGGACTTGGTTCTCATCTCGTCACTAAAGATAATATCTTCGACTTTCTAAAATTAAATGCTAATATCTTTAACTTGCAGGCATAATTTGAATTGCATTTTTCGTTTGTAACTATCATTCCATACTTGCATTCATTTGTATTGCTATTGTATCTTTCCAACATTAGCATTTAATTTTACAGGTTGAATTTTTTGAAGAGGAAAGCTGATGCAGAAATAAGGGGTGAGTTTCTTTTTATTATTTTTTTATCATAAAATTTCATTTTATTTTGAAGAAATCTCTTTTTTTTTTTTTTTTTTGGGATTATTCTAAGAAAAGTTATGTAATATTATCATATGTTAGGATGATCCAACATATAAGCTGTATTTTTAGTCCATAAGTCAACTTATCATCTCATCATGCAACCTCACTATGCCTTGTCATTCAAAAGTCAACCTTTAAAACTAGTCGACGTATTAAGATTTTTATGTCATGGCCAACCAAAGAACACTTACCCTCATTCAAAACTTAATTCCAAGTGCTTCTTCAAGTTGAAAGTAGAGTTAATTTGGAAGGTTCATGGGCTTCATTTGGGACAACTTTTTTACTGTTTTTTGAAGCGATTTTTTAGTACAAATTTTTTAGTTTAAGGCAACTCTCTAATTTTATATGCCATTGGAGCTACTCCAACATTTTCACGTACATATTTGTTACGCATTCTGCCTCTAAAAGTAAAGTCACTCATTTGCTTGAGAATCCTTATCTTTGCAACAATTCTTAATTATATGCCTCTCTTTTTATGACCAACATTTTACGTAGGTTTTGCCATCCTCTTATAAAATTTTATCTTGATAAATAAGAAAATAAAAATAAATTTATTTTAAGATAAATACAATATTAGTTGAAATTACTTCTTTTTCTATGGCTATTATAAAAAATCAAATATGAAATAAAAATAGAGATTAATAGATGACTGATATTTTAATAGCTTATATTAAAAAAGAAATACTTTATTATATTAATAATGAAATAATCATCAAAATTTTTTAGAATATGAATAGTGGGCGTTATAAGTTTTAAGTTTTTTACCATCTCTCTCGGAGGCCGAACGTAGTAGTACGTCCATAGGCACATCAGGTTCATTCACGTCAGCGGTACCGAGTGAAAGAGTGACGTGATACATTCTGATTAGTCTCCGGATGACGTTCAACATCCGCACAGAATAATTAATCATTAAGAGTAGTGGAGATTGCGCCAAAACGTTTGGCAATTCTTTTTATTTTGATGATCGTGTCAAACGTTTTGACGATTTCTACTTGCATGTGGGTTGAACCATTTTTTTCGCTCTTTATTAAAATTTAGACATTTTAAAATAAGCATACTCATAAGCTAAAAAAGTCATATAAAATTTTATTTAAATTTAATTTATTAATGTACCAAATCTAAATAACAAATTGTCAAATTAATAAGGCTTAATTACACTTCTACCCTACTGAGGCCTAATTAATTTCAAATCAAATAATTGTGGCAATATTAAAATGTACAAGAAAAGCATAAAAGCATATCACTTTATACTATTCTATTTACATATTTAACACTTAAAACTTTAATATTACATACATACCACCCATAGTTCATTTTCATATCAAATATAAGTGGTAGAAATGAAATATATGAGTGTTAGGAAAGAAATATAAGTGGTATATTTGATATTAAAATAATATAGGGTGGTATGTATGTAATATTAAAGTTTTAGATGTTAGATATGTAAATAGGATATTATAAAGTGGCATGTATGTAAATTTCCCTAAAAACAATTAATCAAACAACACTATTTTGTTGATTGAATTGTCATTTTGGCGCCATTAATATCATCTTCACCATCTGTTACATATTCAGAGCACCTTTTTTTTTTCGATTGCTATTGCGCTGAACTTTTCGGCAACAGGCTCAGTCCGATGCTTCCTTAGATTCAACGGAAGTGAGGAAGCCGTAGTCTGACGCAGAAATTTCGTGACATCGCCTGAGGAGCGGCCACCGGCGAGGGTTTTGGTGATTTGGTCAATGGATTATGAATCCGGCTTCTCTACGCCGAAGGCGAAGCGCACGGTGAGTTTAGCAGGCATTTATCGCTTATGCAAGGAATTTTTCTTTGAGATCGTTCATTATTTTTGGGTGGAACTGAGGTATGTGCGTTCTTGATACCATTTTTTCTGGCTTTTCTTGCGATTAGGAATTCTTGACGATGGATACTTAAATGATTTGTTTGGATTGGACGAAAGTGAGGGGAAGGAAATGAAATGAAATCTTAACCATTAATGGGTTGGTTATGAATCTGAATCAATTGATTTGAGCTTTTCAGTTATTTATTTATTTTCATTTCCTTCACTCAAATCCCCAGCATCCAGACACTGCCTGACTTAGATACACTCTGTTGAAGGCAGTGAAAAAATGCTTGAAGTTATTGTTTCGTTCGCGCTTTCCACGATTCGACGCTATTACTGCTGCCTTTACGCAATTAATTAACTTTGTTTGATTTGTAATCCTTCTAATTTTTTGTCAATCTTTTACTTTTATTTATGAGGGGAAAATTTAATTTTGCAGAAGCTATCGATGAACAACTTTTTGTTGGCCTACCAGAGTTTGGGTGTTGTTTATGGCGATCTGAGTATTTCCCCTATTTTTGTTTATAGTAATATTTTTTCGGGAAAGTTGAAGCTTAGTGAAGATGATACTGAAGTCTTTGGAGTCCTCTCTTTGGTTTTCTGGACTCTTACTCTGATTGCTCTCTTGAAGTATATCGTGATTGTATTAGGAGCAGATGATCACGGAGAAGGTTCTGTTTGCTTTTTTCTTTTTGCCAGTAATTTTAAATATGTAACATTCTGATTTGGGGATTAAAATTTATAAAGAAAAGAAATGAATGAAAAAAGAAAGCGGTTGTTTTTTTATTTATTCGGAGTTTAAAATGAGAAGAAATTAAAAAAAAGAAAGAGAAAGAAAAACCTTTCCTCTATATGGAGGGTTTTGTTTCTTTCCTTCATACCAGTGGTGGGTTTTATTTCTTTCCTCAAACTGGCTGAGAATGGATCGAAGAAGGAATTTGCCGAAGTAAACTTCTTATAATGCCTACAATATCTTTCTTTCAATAAAAGAATAAATGCTTATCCACACACATCGCATACATAAAATTCAAATTCAAGACGTCTTAGTTGATAATCTAAGTTCCCAACCAATAGACCAAAATGAGCTGTGTAATAAATGCTTATTCCCTTAGCTATATTTCTTCTTATGAGTCTATATAAATAAATTAATTATTTTTTATATACTTTCTTGATGAGAATATTTGATTTAGGCTTCGTTTGGGACAACTTTTTTACTGCTTTTTGAAGCAGCTTTTTAGTAAAAAATTTAATTTTTGTACTAAAAAACTGTTTTAAAAAATAGTAAAAAAATCATCCCAAACAAAGCCTTAGTCTCATGTTTGATAAATGAAAATTTTGTTTATGTAGAAAATATTCAAGTTTTGGTCATCTCTCATATGCTTATTAATCAAACATGTATTTTGCCCTACTTCGATCCCCTGAACTCCCAATGAAGTTTCAACGCATAATTTTCTTCTCTTTTAATATTGTCAACCACAAAGAAAATAATTTATATAATTTCTTTTCTTTTCTTTTCTAGCCTCAACTCCCAATCAGAGTGTTAAGAGTTGCTTGCTTTTTGAAAATTTTGATGATTTTGGCAGGAGGGGTCTTTGCTTTGTACTCGAGAGTATGTCGGAACTCGAAGCTTGGCCTTATAAAAACTCCCATTGTTGCTTATGAGCACTTTCCTGTATATGAATTCCAAACACCCTACGAGGAGAATAGGACGAGTTTGATGATAAAAGGCTTTTTTGAAAAGCATCAAAGATCTAGAATTGTCCTCTTCCTCATTGTACTACTGGGAACTAGCATGTTCATTGGTGACGGTGTGTTGACGCCAACAATGTCAGGTATTGTTGTGCTATGTATACACTTTGATACTCCTTTGCCAGTCTCCATCGCACCCCACCTCATTGTTGTGCTATGATTGTAGAAATTCTTCTGTGTGGACATCGAATGCAGCTCTATATCCGTAGATCAATCAGAATGAGTCACGTCAACGATGTCGAGCGCGATATCGAGCAGTACCGAGCTGCGATATCGAGCGGTATCCAGCAGTATGAGCCACAGTACCGACGTGAATCATTTTGATTGGTCTTTGAATGATGTTCGACATCCGCACATAATAATTTCTCCTATGATTGACAAAGATAATCCAGATGAAAACAATAGGAAAATTGACTACTATATGGTATGTGCTGATATTTATAATAAAAGAAGATTTATCAGTTCCAAAAAATATCCTTTTTAATGCAACAATAATTAGTCAACAGTAAATCATTTTTTAATAATATTTCTACTGCTTGTTACTGTAACATGTGCTGCATGATTTTCTCACACACACAGAAGGAAAACAAATCTACACTACCACAAACTTCTTTTTGTGTTCATCGCAAGCTATGATTACTTCATTGGCTATTCATGTTTTGCAGTTCTATCAGCCGTATCTGGTCTCAGAGTTAAGGTACCGGGGCTGCATGAAAGTGAGCACTCTACCGTATTTCAGCACATCATAATTCTTTCTTGCTATGAAAATTAAAATTTCAATTTTTTTGCGAAAGAATTAATATTATTGATGTGTGCGTCATTGTTTTGAAAAATTGGAAATAAAATTTTTTTGGTTGATGTCCAATGCCTCATCACTTCTGCTTTCTGTTTGTGATCTAGACCATGATTAACGTGTTATTGGGTTTGAGCTTCATTTATTCTCTCATCCTATATAATGAATCATCTTTGTTTAGGATTGTTTCTCTGAATTTTTATTTCTGCAACTGTTTTTTAAGCATTTGATCAAATTATGTTTCAATGCAGATTACACAGTGGCCATTTCTTGTTTTATTTTAGTGGGCCTTTTTAAATTGCAACATTATGGAACGCATCGAGTTGGTTTCCTCTTCGGCCCGCTGCTAATTTCTTGGTTAGTCTGCCTTAGTATGATGGGGATCTACAACATCTTCAAGTGGAATCCTGCTATTATACAAGCTTTATCGCCATATTATATTTATAAATTTTTCAAAGTGGTTGGAATTGATGGCTGGAGTTCACTTGGAGGTATTGTACTTTGTATTACAGGTATGTGATAGTTTGCTATATTTTTCAGACTGCATTTTGTTTGCTGGTGCTTGCTATCATTTTTCTACATCAGGTGCTGAAGCCATATTTGCTGATCTTGGTCACTTTTCAAAGCTATCTCTCAGGGTAAAACCTCTTTGCTTCTTTTATAAAATGCATAGGCTATCTGTTTTTAGTTAGGCCTATCTACTTGCAGTAGTTGATTGAAGGTATTGGAGTTGTTTGGTGATGCTTTTGAGCTGCTTTGTCTTTCAAGCGGAATATCTTATAATTTTGTTTTTTAATGGGAAACATTTGAAAAAAGAACTTCCCCGTATTTACTTGTAGCTTGATTTTGTTAAACCAAACAGCCCCTAACCTGCCCCTCATGGCTTTATGATCATGGACAACACATTTGTAGAGTAACTTGATAATCTTTGTAGAGGTTGCGGTGGCTTTATTTAGGACAAATTTTTAAAAGCAAAACCTTAAATAATATTATAGGCTGAAACAAAATCCAAAAAAAAAAAAAATTGAATTGATGCTGGTCGTTAACTTTAAATATTGTGGTGTGACGGCCAGGTGTGCCAGCTTAGTTGTAACAACCCGTATTTTGACTTTGTCAAATTTTTTTTTCTGAAGTCATTATAAGTCTAAATCATAAATTATCTTTGTCGTAGCATTGATATTGTAGTATTTTAATTACACGAATTTCTTCATATTTTTTAGGCACCGGTACAAATTCTTAAGAAATTGACATAAGTTGATACAAGTGGGGATCTTAGAACTATCAAGTGCCCAATTTGCAAACTGATTTCACTAGAATTTTTTAAATAAAATGTTTTATCTTATGGATATTTTTTTATAATTTTTGTCCTAAAAAAGTTTGTATGAATTTTATACTGAAAATTGATTAAATTATATAATTACATTAATATTATATTATTATTTTATTAACAAATATCTTAAAGCTTTACTTGAATTTATTAAATCCCATTTCCCTTTTCTTCCTTTCGGGTAATGTAGCTGGGGTGAGGGAAATTAGAGAGAAAGTAAGGAGAGAGAAAAAAATTAAGAATTTGGAGGCTGTTGAGTGATTTTTCATCCGTCAATGATGTAAAACATACATGCAAAGAGTTGCTTTGGGATTGTAACAATAAAGATTGAATTTGTGAGTTGCTAATTAGTAACTCGTGCTTCAATCAAGCTAAATTCTTAGAACTTTTCGTTGGAAGATTAGATAATGGCAAGCCGTTACAAGAGGTTAGCAAGACAATTGCAATAACAACAAAAATTAAATAGTAGTACTAATAGCAAGTAATCAAGAATCTACAGCGTAACATCAAGACAAGGTCACTTAGAGTTCCTACTCACTCAATCACTCTTAGGCTTTAGCGGATGAAGACGAAGCATACGATGAGAGAAACTGCCACTAGAAAGATGATATCGAAGGTTTTTATTGATGGAGAGGTAGCCACGGATGGAGAAGGGGTAGATCTCCCAATGAGAAGCCAAGGAGCCTTAGGTTTTTGGAGATCGATAGTCTCCGCTAAGCAGTAGAGGATGTGCTTGACATATCTTTCCACCATTTCGTCGTATTCCCAGTCAGGCTCGTAGAAGGGGGAGCGGAGGATGTTGATTTCCCCTCAGTCATTGTAAGTGAAGCTGTGATCGACCTCAGGATCGGCCATGCACCATAAGCATGAGAAGGAGATAACACAAGGAGGAAGACAAAAGGAGAGAAAGGGTGGTGGAGAGGGAGGCCGGCGGCTTGAATAGGAGGGAGAGGTGTGGGGACGGCTTGAAGAGGTGGGGATGTGGCTAGGGTTTGAAAGAACTTATGTTAGGTTAGGGTGGAGGTGTGGTTTAATCTAAATATGAAATTAATCTCAGATTTTGATTAAAGTTGGAGGAAAATAATTTGAAATTTGATTTCAAATTAATTGTAATTAAGGCATTGATTGAGGATTAATGGGGGGAAGCCAAAGATGGTGCCGACGGCCTGGAGAGAGAGGGGGAAGGGGATTATGGGGGAGTTAGGCTCTTTCCAAACAAGATATGACAACTAGGCGGGAAATAATGAATCCTTCAAAATTAAATTTCGAATGGATTTAAATTTGAAAACTTTCCTTATTTAGATTTCACAAATAAGGAAAGTTTTGAATTTCAAAATTCACTATTTCTTCCTTTAATACTAGATCTAAATTAGGGAGTCATTATGATGATAGAAATCATCATAATGGCTTGATTAATGGGTATGTGGCCGGTGGTCAAAGGGGGGAGGGGGATTTGCCGTTGGGTTGAGGTGGGCTTGGGGTGGTGGAGCTAGAGGATGGAGTGGGTGGGAGAGGTTAAGCAACCGGTGGAGGTGGACTTGAAGGGGACCACGGGTGGAAAGGGGAAGGATGATGAGGGAAACAGAAATAAAATAGAAAATAAGAAATTACCACGAGCCGTGAACTCTTCCAACGACTGGTGGGTTTCGCACTTGCTCACCTCGAGCTCTCTCCCTTCTCTCTAGTGATCACATAAGAAGAAGAAGAAACACAAGAAATTTTATTAAACATTCATCATCCCACTACAACACATAGTGCCACTATATATAGGCCTCTAACATGAAAAGAAAAAGTACAAACTTGTCCTCCGGGCTACAATGACAAGACACTCCCCATAGGGGTAAAATCGGAAAACAACACAACTAAATAAAACATCATGCATACAACAAGACTAGATAAAACATAAAGCGTCAAAAGTAAAGATGTTGAATCGTAGCCGTCGATCTACGATTCTGTCGCCGGTATATTTGTCTGAATCTCTGAGCGATGTCCTCATCAGTCAAGCCGCTCAAAGATTTGCTCATCTCGCTAGAAAGAATCTTTATCCTATTTTTTATTTCAATATTGTTGTATTTTTGGTATTTTTCGGTTCAAATTTGTATTTCATTATGAAAAAATGATGATAATTTTATATTGATAAAACTTTCACCTCATAACTTTTTATATGTTATAGAGATTCTGATTATTAACGTTTAAAGTATTTATTTGAGATTTTTCATTAGGTGATTTTGAAAATGTAGTGATTTTTGGTCAATTCAAAATTTTATTTTGACACTTAAAAATAGAGTTTTAATTCAATTAATGAATTAAAATAATATTTTATACGATCTCTATTAATTTGGTTAAATTCTAAAAATGTGAATTTTTTTTAGTTGAGTTTATGTTGCCTACCGTTAAAACATTTTGACATTTTTTGAATTATATTTTATTTATTGCAATGTATTGAAAATGAGTGTGGATATGTGATTGAGCAAAGTTGGTTGTTATATTATTGTTATAATATTGTTATAATAATATGCGTGTGTGAAAAAATAAGTAAAAACTAGTTATTTATTGGTGTTGGCTGAAAACTAATTGATCTGCACAAAATGGTGGGTTGACAGATTTTTCTTTAAATATATAGTTTTGTGTTATCTTTAACTGATTTGTGTGATATACTGATTGAAAGTTATGAGGAGATGATTATTGTGCTGACGGGCAAAGAGTGACAACTTTGTTTACTTAATAAATGATTTACTAACACTGATACGATGCTGAAAAAATAATGATTATATCATGGTTTATTGGTTTAGTGTGACTACTAAAATGCATGTTATTGAGGCATAATTCCTATTATTTTATGGATTTATTATTAGCAATGATATTGATTCATTGATACAAAAAGCACGATATATACATTGAGCACGTGATATATATATATATATATATATATATATATATATATATATAGGATATACTAAGCATTTGATTAATATATTAATTTTATGCTGGTATAGAATACCTGGATAGTATGTATACACTCATATATGATTTTACTGCTTTGATATGATTTTGACAATCTTTATCGATGCTTTTATTTTATCACTTTATATGATCTCTTTACTAATTAATAGTATAATGCGATAATTATTTTTTTTGATTTGATACTCGTACTAATTTATTATTGATAAGTGTAAATAATATTATATTTTATATGTTAATTTGTCAATAAAAACATGTTGTTTTAGTTGTGTTTATGTAGAAAAATATAAGAAATTGATAAAATTTCAAGTATGGTACAACGTCGTGACATTGAACACAATAATGCTGCGACGCCAACATTAATATTGTTGGAGCACCCAAATATGGACATGGCGGCACCCATGTCTCTGTTTGATAGCGCCATAAAGCCAAGTCTTTGTCTGCACAACGCCGCGGTAACAAATTCCAGCATAGCTAAGTCAAGGGAGTAACACGTGGACGTCACAGCACTCAACTGTCAACAGCGACACAACACATCGCTGTAACCATTCTGGCCGTTCGTCAGCAACGCGTCGATTCATTAAACAACGAGTCTATATAACCAAGCGCCGCAGTGGAGAAAACCCTTCAACGATGTAGCACCAGTTTATTTTATGGGCACTACAGCACAATAATCTCAAGCGCCGCTATGCCAAAATTCATTTTCTGTATTTTTTTATAAATAATACATTTGTACTTTTGGTAGAGGAGTTCAGTCACTTGTTTAATTTCATTTTTTATAGTATTTCTCTGATTTTTTCTTAGGAGTGACAACTAAGAGAATTCAGAGAAGTGCTAGATACATTTCATTAAAGTGTTTGTCTTATTTGTGGAAGCAATTCTATAAGTTTAAGGAGTGTATAGGAGTTCATTGAATCCATCCGATGATATCTTTTCTTACGTACTTTCTTTTTGTGTAATTAATAAAAATAATTTTCTTTATTTGCTTTTCATGTATGAATGAATTTTCTAATTTTGGATTGATGGTGTAAATGAAATATGGAGTACTAATGAATTCTCTTCATCAATATTTCATGATATTTTCAATATATCAGGTCTTCATTTAATACACATAATGGTCATATATATAGTTAATATCAGGTGTAATGTGGAGCCTAATAAAAAGAATGCAGGAACAATCATATATGTTGGATTGGTTATTGGTATGATACAAGCATATGTATAATATTTGTCATGTATCAAATTTATATATATGAATTGTCATGAGGGGGGTTTTAACAATACATGTTTTACATACTCTTCTAAGATTTCCATAGGGTGACAGATTATGGGAGTTTAAAGTAGTATTGAGATTGGAAGGGTTTAATCTGTCATTTGTCTCTTCACGCTTGATTGAGCGGTGGGTGATACATATGCTCTGACTAACATCAATATAAAAGAAAATCATTAGGAAACATATTACATTCCATCAACTCAAAACATTTTATCCAAATGGTGTTTCATTTAATTATTTTTATTTTAAATTAAGTGATTGAATTTCACAAAAACTTATTTTTTATTGAGTAGGATAATTATTGTAGTTAAAGTAGACAGTACTAGTATTTGCAAGTAAACATTCTTCCTCATGGGATCGATACTCTATCACTATATTATTTGATTCAGCACGTCTACTTACGTATATTAAGTGAGGTTTTTATAATTTTATATCAAAAAAATCTAAGTATTGTTTAGAGAATGACAGAGCCCTAAATCATTTTCATAATTCTTTAGGTTACTCAACAAAGGTAGATGAGATATTTTGCTAAGCTTTTCAATGAATATTGTTGAAATACGATTGACTTTAGTGGCCTTAGCACTCTAAATGAAAATAGAGATTTTTATTTTTAGCAGTATATTAATAAAACTGAAGTTATAAAGGCTTTAATGAAAATGACGGACCTGATGATATTCTAATAGAGGTGTGGAAATGCTTTGTAGATGAAGGAATTTCTAGGCTTACTAAATTTTTTAGTATTATTTTGAAGACTAAAAAGATGCCATATGAGTGAAGAATGAGTGTGTTGATTCATGTTTTTAAGAATAAAGGTAATGCACGAGATTGTGCGAATTATAGAGGAATTAAATTGACGTGTCATACTTTAAATCTTTGGGAGAGAGTTATGGAGCATATGTTATGGCGTGATACTAATGTTTCTCAAAATCAAATTGGATTCATGCCTGGTAGGTCTACTATGGAAGCTATTTATTTATTGAAAGGGCTGATGGAGAAGTTTAGAGAGACTAAGGAGGATCTACATATAATATTTATTGATTTAGAGAAAACATATGATAAAGTTCTAAGATAAGTGCTATGGAGAGTTCTAGAAAAGAAATGGGTTAATAATGCTTATATTCAAGTCATTAGGGATATGTATGCAGGAGTTGTTACTTGTATTCAAACACAAGGTGGTTTGACTAAGTATTTTCCTATTTTAGTTGGATTACATCAAGGATCAACCTTAAGCCCTTATCTTTTTGCTTTAGTCGTAGATGTTCTCACTAGACATTTGCAAGTAGAGGATGTACCTTGTTGTATGCTTTTTGCTAATGATATTCTTTTTGTTGATAAGATTAGAGGAGTTGAAGATAAACTCGAATTATGGAGGTCAACCTTAGAGTCTAAAGGTTTTCGTTTGAGTAGATCTAAAACCAAATACATGGAGTGTAATTTTAGTAGTGTTGCGTCCAAGAGTATTCGCGGCGGTAGAGAAATATACAGTTTATCGTCTTAGCGTTGTACGAAAATCCGGCACGCAATCAGATAAGAGAGAGGGTCTAGCATTTATGAGACACCAAGATTTTTACGTGGAAAACCCCTGAAAAGGGGGAAAAACCACGGGGCCTAGCCCAGTTTGAATGAATCCACTAGTATTGCAGTCGATTACAAATGAGGCCCTTCCTTGGTGGAAGGTCTTAGCTTGATGTACATCTTATGGAGTACATTACATGATATTAATACAAATAGTCATTATTGACATGTTCGTTTGGTCGGAAGGACCGTAGTCGGAGGGCGACGGAGGTCAGAAGACTTGTATCTGGCGGGCGACATAAGTCAGGAGGACCGTAGTCGACGGGCGACGGAGGTCGGAAAAACTGTAGTCGGCGGGCGACATAAGTCAGGAGGACCGTAGTCGGAGGGAGTCCAACAATGGAAAGAAATCCATCTTCGCGTAGACGTCCAGCGAAGTCCGATAACCGGTAGAAGTCCGGCGTCGGGTAGAAACTTGGCGAAGAGTGAAGGTTCACGTCGGGTAGAAGTCCGACGTCTGTTGGTGGCAAAGGAGAACTCCGGCTTCACTTGGGCGGAGTTTTGGCGTTAAGAGGGAACTCTGTTGTTAATTGGGAAGGATTTCAGGATCACGTGGAAGTTGTGCAGAATTCTTGCGTTTCCTAAGAATCCTGCAGAGTTCCGACGTCTTCAGGCGGCAGGAAGAGCTCCGGCGGTGGTCGAGGAGGAACTTCTTCCTTTTCCTCCTCTTCCTTCACTTGAGCCTCCTTTGTGTAGAATGAGGGCTCTATTTATAGTTTTTCTGGAGTGGCACTCAATATGGGTTTGAATGAACGGCTGATATTGAATCCTACGATCATGCACCGTTCGTTGGACATTTGAAGGTCTTAATGATGTCGGAATTTGGCGATCTTGGGCTCGTTGGATTCGTCTCGTCGAGGCGCTCGATTCGAGTATAAGCTCGTCAAAATCGGAGACCGTTTGGTAACTCAAATTGCGGTTTGAACCTTCCAACAGCGCTTTGAGCCCTTGATTCAGACTCATTTGGACTCGGATTGGGTTGATCTTGGTGTCGTTGGGTTCGTATTTTCGAGACGCTCAGTTTGACTGTAAGCTCGCTGAAATCGGAGTTCGGGTGCTCCCAAAATTAATTTTTGAAGTTTCCGACTAGCTTTTGCCTCGAGATTCGTGCCCGATCAAGCTAATTTTGTGATGACGTATCAAGTAGTAATACAACTAGTGAGGGATTATAACTTTAAGCGATCAAGTCATTAATAAGTTTACTTGTTTTAGATATCTTGAGTCTATTATTCAGAGTGATGGTGAAATATATGGGGATTTTGTTAGTAGAATCCAAAGTAGGATGGTTGAAGTGGAGGAATGCTTGATAGCATTCTTTGATTTGAAGTTATTATAATACAAAATAAATAAATAATTTGCTATATTTTTCATTTTAAAATAAATTAAAATTATTTGAACCATATTGCTAACACTACAAATTCATTAATTTTTTGAATTAATATCTATAGAAATTCAAATGCTTTAAAATTAAATGCACATGCTACGGATTGATAAATTGTGTAGAGAAAGATTTAAACTTACATTCATTAAGTATCACATTTCTATATAATTAATCCTAATTAAAATATAAGAAAAAAATATTAACGTGTTAGTTTTGTTCATATCCTTTTTATTAAACTGTAAATTTTTTTTGTTGCAGATAGCATTTTCAGCGCTAGTTTTTCCAAGTTTATTACTAGCATACATGGGTGAAGCTGCCTTCCTTTCCAAGCACAAAGAGGATTCTCAATTGAGTTTTTACCGATCTATCCCAGGCACAAGCTTAAAGCTTTTTACCTTATTTCATATTACGACTGTTACAATATAGCCCTTATATGATCAGACTAATTTAGCTGATGAAATCTTTCTTTTTAATTCCAATATAGAGAGCATATATTGGCCTGTATATATCATCGCCACACTAGCTACAATAGTTGCGAGCCAGCCGATGATTTCCGCCATTTTCTCCATAATCAGTCAATGTAGGGCCCTGAACTGCTTTCCTCGCGTGAAGATCATTCATACATCAAACCATGTCCATGGCCAGATATACATACCAGAAATCAACTGGCTTTTAATGCTTCTATGCATGTCTGTCACAATTGGCTTTAAAGATACCACTGCAATTGGAAATGCTTATGGTGCGTTTTCTACCTCTTCTTCCCTCTTCGGCTTTGTTTTATTCTACTTCTTAAATAATTTTTTAGTATAAAAATTTTAATTTTTTATTAGAAAGCTGTTTTATGAAGAAGTAAGAAAGTCGTCCCAAATGAAACCTTAGAATTCAAAGGTTGGAATTTTTTATCTTTTCTTCTCGCAAAAATTTTACAATTTCTCTAAAAGTCCAGGGCTTTCAGTGATCACAGTAATGTTTGTCACAACATGCCTTATGTTCCTCATCATCACCACAGTGTGGAACCAGAACATTCTCTTAGCAACTCTCTTTGCTATCACCTTTGGTTCTGTGGAGCTTTTCTACTTATCAGCCTGCCTTGTTAAGTTCCCACATGGAGCCTGGCTTCCGCTTGTCTTCTCTCTTATCATTCTATTTGTTATGACTATTTGGCATTATGGTACATCAACGAAACTGGCTTATGAGCTACAGAACAAAGTGCAGCTTGACAGCATTCTCAACTTCAGCGTCGGCCTTGTTCGTGTTCCTGGCATTGGCTTTGTCTTCTCGACCATCCCAGATGTCATTCCTCCAATGTTTTGTCACTTCATTACCAACTTCCCTGCCTTCCATCGTATCATAATCTTTGTAAACTTGCAGACTGTGGCCTTGCCAAGAATCCCACTAGAAGAGCATTTTTTGATTAGCCGAATTGGTCCTAAAGAGTTTGGCTTCTTTGGGTGCATTGTAAGATATGGATATAAGGATTCCCGTGGAGAATTTAGTGAATTTGAAGAAGAGCTGCTAAACAAAGTTTCAGAATTTTTGCTGCTTGAAGGCAGCAATAATGTCTCTAGTTCCGACGAGTCTAATGAGAACTTAATGATGGAGATATCAGAGAAGATGCCATTGAGAGATGAAGTGATGGAACTGATGGAGGAAAGGAAAGCTGGTGTGGCTTACATGATAGGCCACACGGATGTCCTGGCTCATTCTTCCTCATCTTTCTTCAAGAAGAATATGATCAACTTGGTCTATGGATTTCTACGGCGGAATTGCCGGCAAGTGGCGGTGGCGCTCAGAATCCCCCGAGCTTCATTGATAGAGGTTGGTGTACAATATCGCGTTTGATAGATTGTAGATGGTGATTCTTTGGCTTTGTTTGGGATGGCTTTTTTACTGTTTTTTGAAGCAGTTTTTTAATACAAAAATTTTAATTTTTATGCTAAAAAACTACTTCAAGAAACAATAAACCAAACGAAATCTTTCTCTTTATTGGTCATCACCAGAAGTATTTAGCATCTTTCAGTTTTCGAAGAGTTGTTGGCTAAACTGATATTAGAAATTTGAACACGATTTTCTATCTAACTGGAAGGTAGAAGGAGCTGGGTGTTGATTCTTTTTGTTGGAATAAGTTGGCTAAGCTATCCTCTGGGATTAAATTGAAGTTAGTATACTGAGCTTATTGCATTTAGGAAGTCATTGCTGATAGAGTTCTGAAGTGAAAATTATCTTCATCTGATGCAGAAGGAAATGGATATTTGTTGTTACAAATACCCAAATGTACTTACTAATCAATCTGTAGATAATGCAGAAATTTTGTTTTCAGGGAGGGAATGGAAGATTTGTTGGTATGAATACAATTGAGAGTACATCAGTATAGAAGCTTCATAGGGAGGAGAAATATGAAATATTATTAGCAAACGCAGTATATTAATCATATAAGATTATTTCAGGTACTCTAAATATGTTGGTGATTTCCATAAGTTTTAGTTTTTACCAAATTTTTATTATTTTGGGTATGCTCGGCACGCGACAGCTAGTTCGGGAATTCAAAATTTTTAAAATTAAACGGGTTTTCGGGTTGACCCGGCAACCCGCCGGGTCAACCCGAACCCGACCCGTTTTTTCAAACGGGTCAGATCTGCGAACTCGAAGATAAACGGGTCGGGTCCAACCCGGATTTTCCAGGTCGGGTCCGGGTCGGGTTTTCGGGTCAGGTCAAAAGTTGACACCCCTAATTTTGGGCTGTGATTTGGAATTTGCTATGTTGATGTTCTTTTTCTGCAATTGAGAAATTATTCTGTGCGGTCACGGGATCATTTAAAGGTAAATCATGATGTGACACGTCAGCTGATACACAACAAAAAATGATGTGACGCATCCTGATTTGCCTCTAGACTGTGTTTGGAGATCGCATAGAATAATTTCTCTTGCTATCTATCACGCAATGAAATGTACTTTTTTTAATGAAAAATGAGTTTTTGTTGATTTGGATTGTCTTATAATTTACAAGAATAATAGAGATCTTTACTTGACGAGTAATTGTAGACCAATAGTCTAACAAATAAAAATAGAAAAATCCTTTTTTATTTATTTACTGTTTTTTTATGGGAAACTTTAATATGTTTGATTTTTATAAATTTTAAGATTATTAAAATACTGAGATTTTGTTGTTTATCAGGTGATGAACAACACACCAAACATTTTAAATATTATTTCAGAATATTATTGCAATATTTAATATTTCTTTATTTTTAAAAATATTTAGGGATTTTCTAAAAGCTCGGTGAATTATGATTTTAGTATTTGAAAAAGTTCTTTTTATCTTCACATATTTTATGCTATTTGACTAAGATTTGTTTTAAAAAAAAATATTTCTCATGTTTTAATGACTCTGAAAAAAAAAATTACTTATATAAATATTAAATGAAGTACCATTATTAATAATAATTTTATTAAATTTTTGTTAGTTTCAACATTAATTTTTTTAATATAGCACAATTATAGTTCTTAAAATATCTATATGATCTTCGAACTTTCATTATTCTTTAATGAATCGCTTTTAAAGCAATATTTATCAACATAAGCTAAAAAAGCAATTACTTTTTAAATGTAGACCATTTTTTTAAATAATATTCCTTCCTTGCATGGCAAAAAGTTTGATGTGATAGAGATTAGAGAGATAGCTTTGTCTCGATTTTGCACAAAGATTTAACACACATAGATAAAAGAAAAACAATAACGGACCTAATCTAGTTGAAATGTATTTGAAGTTATAGAAGTTTGCTCATCTTCAAAACTATAGAATATGATATTATAATATTAGGAGCACGTGCTTGGTGTTGGATAATTTTTGTTGGTTTCAAGTAATTGTAATAGGAGAAATTATTCGCATGCAGAACGCTGTATGGAGGTCAGTCAGAACGCATCACGTCAGCAGTCCCGAGCTACGGTATCGACCAGTATCGAGCGGCAAAACATAGCGAATGGATGATGTGGCGCATTCTGATTAGTCTCCGGATGACATTCAATGTTCGCATAGAATAATTAATCTTACATAGACTGAAAAAAATTTTAAAGAGATATTGATTGCATGCCATGATGTTGGACAAGCAATTCTAATCAAATAAGGTGCTTAAGCGACAACAATCTAATAATGATTAATGAACTATGCTGTTGAGTTATGGTAGTCAGGTAATAACAGCCGGGTGATAATGGCCTAATGACAATAATTGTACAATCATGGGTGGAAAAAAAAATTAAATATTTAGAGAGGATATTTTAATTTTTTTTTTTAATTTTTGTGTATTTTGTCCCCCCCCCCTCTAAAAAATATTCTAAAATAAAATATTGAATGATTTTGAACTTAATTATATAAATTTACAGTACAAAATAATACATCAAAACTGTGTTGATAAAATGAATATTTTGAAAAATATCAATATTTTTCTATTATTTTTTTCTTTGCATCTAATTGTAATATAAATTTAAAGCAAAATTTTCATTAAAAATCTACATAATATAAATTTAATTAAGATATACTTAAAAATTATTTGAATAATTATAATATTAATATAATATAAATTTGTTATATGCAATTCTAATAGAAAAGAAAATCAAATTATTTTTAAACCTATTCTATTATAATTTATATAAATATATTTACACATGATTTATTTTCTTAATAATAAAAAAAACCTAATCCCATTGACTGCTATATATATGTTAGCGCTCAGCCGACCCTTCAGGTATTTGTTTCAATGTTTTGAAGTCTCGCCAATAATTTGTGGCGAAAACCCTATTCCACATCGAGGGTTTCTCGGACCACGCCGCTTCTGGAGTGACTAGTGAGAAGGCGACAATGGCGGAAGGGATAACCGATGCCGCCCAAAATATAGACGAACCAGAGGCACAAGTGCCGGAGGACATGGATCTTGTGACTGGGTTTCCTGGTGAATCCATCGCCACGGAATCCGCTGCAGTTCTTCCCGACATGGCCGATAAGGCGTCGGAGAACGGGGGCGTGAAGAGGGGGAGGGAGGATGAAGAGGATGATGATGAAGAAGGGGCTACGAAGAAGCCCAATCTGGAAAGGTCTGTGGAAGAGGAGAGGCTCGAGGAACTGGAGGCCAAGGAGGTGGGTGTAGAGGATCGAGAAGTGGAGGAGGTGAAAGAGACGGTGGAGGTAGAAGAAGTTAGAAAGGAGGAGACGGAGCCTGCCGCTGTGAAGGTTGGGCCGAAAGTGTTTTGCTCGTCGGTGGAAATGTTTGATTACTTTCACAAGTTGCTACATGACTGGCCTGCCAATCTTGATATCAACAAGGTGAGTTTTAATGGTTCTTTAGTATCTCGAAATGCTCAATTTTTATTGTTTTTTTTTTCCTTTTTATGTCATAGGATTTGACATTTATTATTATTTCCGTATGTAGAAGTGATTGTTAAATTACAGATTGAAGTTCCTGTTCACTTTCCCCCGCACTTTTTTTATTGAAAGATTAGTGCAGGTATTTTAGTTATCGATGGTGAAGTAGTTCTTCACCGTAATGGTGAATCCATCAACGGACCATGATTAGAAAATATAAGTTCTTAGCCCCTATTGCAAGTATACGAAGCTTTCTGTAATATGATGCATATGTAATCGCAACTGATAAGAATAAACCTGATTGAAATCAGGTTAAATTAATCCAAGTAAGTTTGGGTTGTTCAATCCTGGTTGAATATAGAGAAAGGAAAAGCCAAATTTTTTCCATCCCTTTTTTGATTGTATTTTAGAAAAGAATGGAGTGATAGATTTAGTTGAATCTAAAATAAATCAACATGTTATAGACTATATAATTTTATATTTGGAATTGCAAAGATGTTTCTTTTATTGCGTCCTTGTGCCATTGAAAAACAAAAGCTCTATGAATATAAAATGTAGTGTTCATGGAAATATTAGATATGAATAGAAATTGAAACTGGAGGTGACTAGATAATATTTAAATTTAATATTCATTTTTTAATGTATCAAAGTGTATTCTTGTATATGCTCTGTTGCATGGTCAGTCATGGTTACCTTGTACCCTTCTTTTAGAGGGCATCATAAGGAGTGAATTACTTCATAAATAAGGACTACATGAAATCACTTTTTGAGCCCATGATATATCTAAATTTTAAACTACAATCATGGCGAGTGAAATGATATACCTCAGAATTAAGGACCAGATAAAGACTAGGTTAAATAGATGTAAGTGAAATAAATTGGTGGGGTGATGGATTTATATTGAAAGAAAAGTTGAAATATGACTATCGCTTTTGTGCTATATTGTTTTGAAGAAGTGGGTGATAGATTTTGTTTCCACCTTATAAACTTCAGGATTTAATATCTGGATGAGAAAGATGCTTCTTAGTTCTATTCTGAGTAGATGGTTAAATTTAAGATGCGATTTTTTTAGGATCAAGGGAATGGTGGAGATTAATGAAATTTAATACATAGGGTGGCTCCTTGCATTTGAAAATGGAGAAATTGGAAAGCTAGATGATGAAAGTTAGTTTATGTTTGATCTCAATGCATGATTTATGCTAAACAAGTTCTTGTATGCATAATAAATACACAAAAAAATCATGTTCTATTTTTTTATTCCATTTCGAAATCAGAACCCTTAGATTTTCTATATATTCTGATAGGATTGGATCTCAATGCAAGTCCTTAGTTTTATCTGTAAAAAAATGAGTTATTGCATATGGATGAGTTTATGCTTGTTCATGGTGGGACTTCACCTAGAATTCTGTGGGGAAATTTTCTTTGCATTTAACATTCATATGTTTACCAATGTGCTGGTAGATCTGGCATGTTGTATTGCTTACACTTCTAATTTTTGAGCCCATGGCTAATCTTACGTTGATGTTATAGTGATATGCAAGAAAAGTATGATCATCAAATTGTTTTCCATATCAAGTTTTAAGCATGTTTATATATATGCAATAAGGATACATGCATTTGTTTCATTTTTTCAAAAATTTAATGGATTTTAGGAATGTATTCTGAGGCCAAATCTCTTTAAGGGTTCTTAGTATTGTATTAAGTCAGTTGATTGAGAATGATTGAGTGAAGTAAAAGAGTTATTGAAGCTCCTTTTCATCCTTCTCTATCATAATCAAATATTTATAAACAAAGTTTTTTGATGTAATTTTCAATATATATTTTGGTAGTTGTGCATATATTTGCTAATGAGGATAGAACTTTTAGAGTTAATGTAGGCTTTTAAAATGGATAAATGCTTCTAGAGTATTTTGCGATAAAAGGAGATCTTAGAAACTTCGCGGTAAATTTTATTAAATTACAATTGGTGGTGGTGATGTATGAATTCGATTGCATTACAATAAAAAAAATTGTGGATAGGTAAGTTTTGATGGAAATGAGAATCATAAGATAATTTGTCACACAATTAAGAAGGATCAATTAAGGAATGGTAATTTTAGAAAACAATTGAAGTTATATTTTATTTTAATTAATTTAAAATCAATTTTGACTCATGGTTCGGCTACAGAATACATTTTTCTCAAATTCGATTGTTTTACCTTTTTTTCAATGGCATCAAGTGAAAAGACAATGGCAGTTGGGATTCTCGTGCAGATGTGGTGTCTATGCTTTTGCATTGCTTGCATTTTCTTCATAAGATAATTTTATTTTTTCAATCAAAATTTCAACTTTTCTGATTAAAAAATATCTTCAAGGAAATTAAAATCAGTACTACTTTTGAAATTAAAAGGAAAAAAAACCCTGTTTTTATTGGTGTGCAGAAGAAGCTCATTTTGTGAATTTGGTGAAACTTTGTACTGCAAATGGCTGACCTATGTTTCCATATCACAAAAAATAAAATAAAATAAAATAAAAATTCTCTGATTCTAACGTCATTCAGCTGCAGATCTGGTTCACCCCATTGCTGAATGATGTGTCAAAAGCATTTTTTTTTGGCAACATAATTCAGGATCCTGAATTGTGAATGTTATATTTTCTTATTTTTAGTATGTGGCAAGACAAGCACTTCAGTGGGGAGGTTATAACCTGTAGGGAGGTATGGTTCTTATTAAATTGCATTGCTTGCTTTTTCTTCATAAGAATGATTTAGTTGTTTTAATCCAAACATCATCAAATTATGTAATGCAAACATATTTCGTTCAAACAGATAAAGAATTAACCATGATTGTGTTAACGCTTAACAATTTTGGTATATCAATCTTAGGCGCATAGATGTAGTAGTTCAACTGGGTGCAAACTCCCAACTCATTAAGAAAAAAAAAAGAATTCCATAAAGGTCAATTTACAATGATGAAAATAAAACTATTCATTGGACAAAATGTAGCTACACAGAAAAACAACATAAGAGCTTAAAAGCAACTGTGAAAGAAGACTAGGATTCGTAAACTCCAAGATGATCGTGCTTAATAAATATTTTCCTTTGCTGAGTCAAGTTTCTAGTGATGTTAGAGTAAAATCATCATACCTGGCGCCCAAGTTTCATTTAAAATGTTTTTGACTTAACATTGCAACTCATCATTTTGCAGTATGAGCACTTGGCTTTGATCGATTTGTTGAAGAAGGGACACGCAGATGCTGGTAAGAAAATTGGAGAAGGGGTTCAAGCTTTTCAGGTGCGTTATCACCCAGCATGGAAGAGCAGGTGTTTCTTCATAGTACGCATTGATGGATCAGTGGATGACTTCAGCTTCAGAAAGTGTGTGGATCATATACTCCCTTTGCCTGATAATATGAAAGTCCCCTTTGCTTCTTCCAATGGCAAGAAAGCTTGGGGCCAGCAGAAGGTTGGAGGTGGAGGTCATGGCCGTGGTGGAAGAGGCGGACGTGGTCGTGGAAGTAGAGGAAGGTAGAGATCTGAATGCCCTGCAACTCTATATTGGATATTCTGTCCTTTTATGTTTATCACGCTATTTACTTGGATTTTGGACATATTTGTATTACTAGTTTTAAACTTCAATTTTGGCTTAAATTTTTGTTATTTTTGGTGATCTCGTTGGTCTACTTATTTTCCATAGCTTTCAAATCTTAAGTTTCATGGCAATAGGACCGTTATTGCATGATACATAAGCTGGATTGCAACTTAGGAACATTCTTCTCTGCATCATCATTTAACTAACATTTGAAACATTTCAGGGACTGTCAATCAATTTGTGAGTAGACATTTCATTCATTGAATATATTTTTAGTTACATATAATGCATGACTATTAATGCCTATAAAATCTATTCATTTTTTTAATTTATTTTATTTTTTAATTTATTTTTAAATCTTTTTGTTCATTGAATATATTTTGAGTTAAATATGATACATTAATGCCTACAAAATCTATTCTCTTTTTTTTTTGCAATAAAATCTGTTCCTATTTCTCTATGATTTGTGTGAATTATATGATGGATGATGATCAGTCGTTCCTTAAAACAGGAAATTTATCATATAATTTTTGTTTAATATAACTAGATGAATTATATGAGACGCTCATCTTGTAGATATGACCGTGCTTCCCATTTGATAGCTTGAGTGAATATAGTGATAAATATCTAAATTTCCTTAAAATTTTTTGAATTAAGATATATGTTGTAAATTTAATCACGCTGAGTGTTAAAATTATCAAAAAAAAAAGATAAATATACTATAAAAGTATAAATTTGATAAATAATTATTTATATGATATGTTTGTCTTATAATAAATTTAAATATTTTAAGGTCCCTTATGATTATATTTTAATTAGAATATTTTTTCATAGAAGAATTTTTAATTCTCGGTCTCTCCTCTCATGATGTAAAATATGCTTTATAATAGGCAAAACAATTCTAAATATGCTTTTTTTTTTTTTCAAAACAATGCTAGTCGCCTTTAAAAATTTGTTTAATAACTTCAGTCAAGCCATGCATTGCATTATGGATGGTTAGGATTGAATCCACCAAATCTTTTCAAACTACTTCAATTTTAATGAGTTCAATCCTAACCACTCATTGTGGAGAGGATTTAAGGGAGAGGATTTAAACCAGATATGACGTGCTAAAATTTCTCCCATTTCATTTATTTTTGGATTGTATTTGTGCAACTCTAAAACTTTTCTGTAGCACATTCAAAATAATAGTAATCAAACACATTATTTTAGTAATCACATCTAAAATAACAGTATAATCATATTCATTATTTTAGTAATCACAGTCAAAATAATAGTAATCAAGTGTCAATGACCTAAAAAATATTTTATGATCTACCATAAGACTTTATGCTAGTTCTAATAATTTTTTCGATGTTATTAGATTGGAAACAATATATGAAGAAATGCTAGAAACATAAACTAAGCCTCATTTTTTTCTCACACCCTAAACTCTAACCATTTACATTATGCTTCCATTATTTGAAAGTAAGCTATGTTTTGCATCATATTTAAGTTACATGTATGGAGCTAGCATTCTATTTAAGATACAACTATGGAACTAATGTCAAATACATGAACTAGATCATTGTTTCTGTTAAGTTTAGCCTTTTCATGTTAATAACCAGCATAAAATTATCTCTTGAATCCTATCAAAGCCTATATATGCTTGTGAATGCATAGTACTAATCTTTCTTACCTAACGATGTTAAGAAGGCAGAAACTGCTTTGCACTGTAATTGATGAATATTGATTTTACTTTGGAGGAAGAGATATCATCTTCCTTTTTCAATAGAGTTGTGCCTTAAAGGCGCATCAGCTGAAGGATTAGCCTCCATGTAAATTACATTGTTTTGATCTGATGGCACACTAGTTTGGCTATCTGTTAGAAACTGCTTTGCACTGTAATTGATGAATATTGATTTTACTTTGGAGGAAGAGATATCATCTTCCTTCTTCAATAGAGTTGTGCCTTAAAGGCGCATCAGCTGAAGGATTAGCCTCCATGTAAATTACATTGTTTTGATCTGATGGCACACTAGTTTGGCTATCTGTTAGTCTTGTGTCTGTTGAGCTTGAAAAATCATCATTAACAAAATTGCTGCTTATATCCTTAAACTGCCATTCTGTTAGATAGCTTGGCCTTGAGGTGACCTCATTAATCTCGATATCTCCAACCAACATAGCCACCACTCTCGACATTGGCGGTCGGAAGGCCGGCAATGCTTGGATGCATAGAAGAGCAATGCGGATTACTCGAATAGCTTCATCTTTATTATATGATGATAGACTTGGGTCCACTAAGTCCAGTTCATGCTTCTCTTCATATAAATGCCAAGCCTGAAATATAAGAATAAAGCTAATATTTCAGATAACACATTTTGTTATAACTTCTTCATAATTTGATTTTATTTGGACAGTTAGTTAAAATTGTTAGATTTTAAGTTCTGCAAACATTTTAATGCTGGGCAAGCGAAAGAATGAGGAATTAATAAGAGGGATGTTTAAATCTAATGGAGCTATAGCTTTAGTTCTCATTTCTTATGCTTCGTTTTACATTTGCAGCTTTATCCAAAGAGTTTAATATACTACTTGCAAAGTGAATGAAGAGTCAAGGTATATAAAAATGTACATAAGATAGGTAATTATGAAGTGCTTTTCAATTAGTTTATGCTATTAGATATTGCATATAAATAGCGATGCAATGTAAAATGAGTGAGAGTTCATATTTCTTAAAGATCTCTAAAGACCTAAAAGGTTCTAATTAGGCCAAAAAGTTAGCAGTGCCCATTTTTAATGTGTAGTTTCACTCTTTTTAATAGAAAATGACATTATGAGCAATTCTCTCAGGTTATACCCAAGAGGCTACGTGATTTAAAACAAATTTGATTATTTCAGCCTTTAAATCAACACTTTTATAATTTATCATTATAGTTTGGTTTGATTTCAATTGTTCTTAAAAAATTTAGATTCTCATTGCTTTTTTTTTTTTTTTTTTGCTAGCGTTTTTTTTATGATGTCTTTAAATTATTTGAAGAATGTAACTATCTTTGTTTAGTAATTTGAGATTTTTATTCTCAAACTTTATATTTTTAATATTCTTTGAATCCACAAGTTACTGAATATGTGTTTTTTTCCTCTTTCACTGTGTTCTCACATCAAATATCATGCATGCTTATTGGAGTGCCCAAAATAAATGCATTTGAATGTTAGTTTGGTAGTTATTTTATATAAGTTTAAGAACTGAAGTGTATAAATCATTGCCCACCCAATCAAGCAAGTAGACTTTCTCTTCCTCAAGTGCAAGGTCCGAGTTAGGCCTTCCACTAAGAATTTCAAGAGCAACCACCCCAAAACCGAACACATCAGCCTTTTCTGTTAGATGTCCTCTCATAGCATATTCTGGTGCAAGATAACCTCTGCAAATATCATAATATTGAATTATAAATGATGCTGAAAATAAAGAACAATAGAAAAGTCACTAAACAAACATGTTAAAGATAAACATTGAAATCCCCACGCACATCGTTCCTGCAACTCTTGTGCTAATGTGAGTTTTCTTATTGTCGTAAAGCTTTGCCAAACCAAAATCTGATATCTTTGGGTTAAGATTTTCATCTAATAGAATATTGCTGGATTTTACATCCCTGTGAACAATTCTCACACTTGATTCCTCATGAAGATATGCTAAGCCTCTTGCTGCTCCCAGACAAATCTCAAAGCGTGTTTCCCACTCAAGATGCAAATCATTTCTTCCTGCAAAATGAAGCCAATCACGTGCAAGAATTCTTAATGATTTTGCTTTAAGCTTTTGATTATTTTATATCATACCGAAAATAGCTTGATCTAAACTCCTTTTTTCCAAGTACTCATAAACCAAGAGCCTCTTATCTCCCTCAATGCAGCAACCATACAACTTAACTAGATTACGGTGTTGAACTGCTGATATGGTTGCTATTTCGGTCACAAATTGTCTCTTTCCTTGGTGAGATGCTACTGATAGTTGCTTTACTGCTACCATTTTTCCATCATATAGTTTACCCTTGATGAAACAAGTCAAACATTTTACTCTCAAGTTCTTCAAGACTTATAATTAGTTTTGTATCAGATTTGTGTGTACAAGGATAGTTGATTAGCATTAATAATGTGCTTATTTTATTTGAAGTGAGAAGAAAAAAATGCATTGCACTCTCATCATGCTTTTTGAGAAGCAATATCATATTTATTTCACTGGTGAATATTTTTATGAAATTGAAAGATGAAAAATGTCACAAAATTAGTCAGTCTAAAGAAAAAAATATGGTAAAATAAAAAATTGATTTTGTCATATTTGGGTAAAACAGACCTTGTATACAGGCCCAAAGCCTCCTTCTCCGAGAAAATTAGACTGGTTAAAATCCTCAGTTGCTGCTCTCAATTCAACATAGCTGAATGTATTTGGTGTGAAATTCAATCCTAACAACTCTGTATTATTTAATATATTAACTTAGTCTCAAATTCAAAAGTAAATATAAACATTCATATATTCACAAATAAATAAACAAATAAAATTTCATATTCCTTAAAGAAGTTACCTGCATCATCTTTGCTAAGTTTTTCTTTCCTATGTCTCCACAATATTATTGCAAAAATGACGAGTCCCAACAACACCACAACACCAACTACAATACCTACAATTAATCCTGTTTTGTTGCTTGATGAAGAGGAATTTGGTGCTTTGTTACTAACAGATGGTATGAAGTCTGTAAATATCGATTATCATAAGATAATGGTTATCTATATGAATTTATGAAGACACTTAGACTGAAAGTTCATGTAATCAAATGGAATAGCATACCATAAGGAGATACACTGATTGCAGAAATGGATGGACCATAGTAACCTTGAGTAGGAATACAACATGTACCTTTTCCAGCCCAAAAGAAATGTATTTCTAGGAAGTTGTTTGTTACAGGTGCTTGGTACTCTCTCATGACTGCTGTAAAAGATTTTCCACCAGCTTCCTTTCTTATATTAAAGTCCTTCTCCTTACGTAATCCCTAAGGTTATATATTTGATCCCGTTAGCAACTTGAAAATAGTTAAAAAAAAGTTACTCAATCACTTGCTATGTTGTCAAGCAACCAAAATCTTTTTGTAGAATAGGCACATATTGAAGTTCACCTTCATCATTGCTACGTGAAGTGTTATTGTAGACAATAACTCAGCTCAAATAATCGTTAAATATTAATTTTGTTCTTAAATCTTGGTAGAAAATCCTTCTGGAAATATATAGTTCTTCTTAAATCTAATGTGTATGTATGTATGTATACATAAAGCAGAAATATGTTAAGGTGTTATTTTTTGGCATGAACTAACAAATATAAATCTCACCCTAACCAACAAAAATCCATCCACAATCTACTATGTCCTTATTAACTAAAACTGGATACTCTATGTCCTTATCAAACAAGACGCTCTCATGTATGCATATATTGTCAATGTATGGTTTGCTCACCTGTATATAAATGTCAAAGACCCTTCTTCCCAAGCTCTTCCAAGTGGGTGGATCTACTATTCCAATCTCAGCAAATTGCAGTTTTATCGTGTAATTTCCATTTTGAAGTCCCAAACCATAGTATCTTAATGAGGAAGGTGACATTCTTGCAGTCTGAAATAATTCTGGATCCAGTGTGTTTTGGAATTGGGATTGAGATCTAATTATATAGTTGGCATTAGGATTTGTGGCATCTTTAAAACTTCCAGTGTTGCTTACTGCCCATTTTATAGGGTCGGTCACATAATAAGATGCTGTACTGAGATTAGCATTATCCGCATCAAAGTTAGTTCCATCAGAACTTGTCACGCTTGCACTTCCACCACACTTTATTCCAAACTGAGAATCTGCAATTTAAGATACCTCAAATATGTTTATGTACATAATATGCTGGTAGTTTCTATGATTTTTTCAGTATTTGAAAAAGATTCAAGAAGATGTGGAGAATGACTTACACACTGGTGAATCACGGTAGCATGGCATGTTTCTCTGTAGACACTCTAATCCTGAAGGCAAGACACTGAAAATAAAATTGTTAATAAAACTCAAGTTCAGGTATATATGAATTAAAAAGAAATCGAATTTACATGAGATAGAAAATGATGATAATTACCTGTTATTGGAATTGTCTATGAAAAAATTGTTGGCGACCAAGTTTCTATCACAAAGAAAAAAAATAAGTCTAAAATTTGTAATTTTTTAATTTTTTGAAATGAAACAAAAGAATTGTTATGGGAAAGAACTAGGATGCGGTGGATCAAACAATGCTATATCTATATTATTACGTATGTTTATTATTTATAGTAGGAATCCATGCTACAGATTATTATTAAAATTTTTTCATTATTGAGTATATTATCTGTTAATATGTTTTTTTTTGTTGCTCTCCTTTGTTATGAGTATTATGGATATATAGGTATATTGTGTGCTCCTGAAATTCATCCTCAAATCTCTATTGAGAAAGAGTTTAGTGTATTTCTAGTTCAAATTTTAAGAAGGCCTTTTAGAATAAAAATAAGATACTACTAAGAGGTTTTGCCCTAATTTTGTGAGAACTTTATGATCTATTTTCAAGTTTACCATAAGCACAAGCCTTTATGGTTAATCATCCATCCTGGTGATGAGAGGGAGCTTTCAATTAAGGCTATTTATTAGAAGCTAAGTGATTAGCATAGTAGCAATAATTTGTTATATGATCTAAAATTTATCACTTCAGACTTAAAGTAGATGGTGAGAGGGATGATGATAAACCTAATCAAGACCTTATGATTCTATAATCTTTGGTTATCATTGATCTTAGTATACTTTGTTAGAGGATATAGTTAATCTAATCTGACCAAAGGATCTTTATTGCTAGCTATAAGTTGCTTCTTCTAGGGGAACCTTATAGATATAGGGATCAAAATTTATCTAAGGGGATTAATTTTAATTGATCTTAACTAATAGAGGGCTTTATGCTCAATTAATTGGAATGTATGATTTATTACTTGAGGAATTTTAGTCATCGAAGAACTTATAGGTTCTAATTATGATTATAATTTATTGATGCCATTTTGTGGAAAAACCTACTTGTCAGAGCATGACATCCACAACCATTTACTAGTTGTGCCATTTGACAGCAAAAATATCAATTAGAGGACACATATCACATCCTTGCTTATGAGAGATAATTTGAGAAGAAATCATATTGATACTATTGATAAGATATTAGCTCTTCGGTGATGTGAGATTTTTCTCAAATTTATCACTCTTGACAAAAGGTTGTGAAGGGTGGACGAATTTTGCTCTTAAGTTGATGTGTAGTAAACTTCATTTGAATATTTTAGATTTTATAAGTTATTAAAAATTTCATATTTTTGTTTGGATGTGGGCCTAAAATGATTTGCATTGAGATTTAAGGGCTTTTTTGAAAGATATAATCTCCAACACTTAATATTTTCAATCAATGCGGTTATGATTGGAGTATTTGAATGATTTATTTTATTATTTGAACATTATCAACTTTGGCCGTTTACCAATAGAAGATTAAATTCAATGATAAACTTTATGAGTTACTGTATGAGAGGTATAGTTAGGAGTTTTCATTTTTATAATGAATTATCTTCATATAATGCATTGAAGGCTTAATGTGAATGCAAAATAAAATACATTCATGAATTTTACAGTTACAGATTCATTCATTAAAATAAGATTTAATAGCTACAAATGTTTGAGAGTTCTCAATGCAACTAATATTATGCTAGGAGACATAAGGAGGGGCTAACTCCCAAAAAATCCAATCTACATCAAATGGAACTCTGAACCTCCCTTGAAATTGACATTAATTTACATATAGAGAAAAACATAATTATTATAATGGTATGGCAAAACTTTCATGGTTAAAAAAATTATGCAGTTTCTAAATAAGGAAAAAATATATTTTTTCTATAACTTACAACTCTAAGTTTGAATCGCTGACCCAAGATGGAAAGCTTCCTGATAGTTGATTGTATGATAGATCTCTGCAGATTTAGAAGGAATAAATTTTTATATGAAAATCTTACATTTCATCAAAACAGCATAACATTGTTATATTTTTCATTGAAGTGAGAAAATTTCCCCAACTTATATAGTAGGGAGAAAATTAGTTGATTTATTTTAGGAGTTAATTATGTTCTGAATGACTTGCATACTTACATAGTACTGAGTGCTTCACTTTTTATTTCTGGTAAGATGCCTGTTATGCTGTTGTTCCCAAGGAATCTATTGAGGAAAACAATAGAACAAAACATATATAATTTATTCTTGTACTACTAGAAATATAAGTGAAACATTTGAGACACTGAAGTAGGCATTTTGTACAAGAGTTTTAGTGAGTTCAAGTTCAGTAGAGACTGTGGAACATTGCCTGTAATGTTATTGAAGCTCAAATCCCTATGTAAGAAAAAAATATTCAATTTGTATCAAAGTAACAAGTGTTAAATCATTTTCATTTTTAGGTAAAGCAATGTATACATGATGGATGAAAACAAAAGAACTTACAAATGCATTAAACTTGTATATTTTGAGAAGTTTGATGGAAGAGTATCAGAAATCTTGGAATTCCTTAAGATCCTGCATGGAGTCAAATTAATATGCAAAAGAAGGAAAAAAAAAAGGAGATGATATCATTGATTGGAAACATCAAGCCTTACAGTGAGCTTAGAGATGTCAAATTACTAATAAATGCCAGGGATGAACTCCCATTTAGTATGTCTCCTATGCGTCTGGGAATAGAAAATACAACATCTTATTAGATAGACAATCAACAAAAGGGCGTCTATTAAAAAGGACACACTTGTAGTACTTCATATAAATATAAAATACTTACAAATCAGTAAGATTGGAGAGACTAGAGAAGCTTGAAGGAATTGGACCATTGAAGGAGTTACCTTGTATCCTCCTACCAGAACATCATTTAGTATTGATTACCTCTGATTTGTGTATCATGTATAATACATGTTTTCTAGAAATTGTAATGTAGATGAAATTCCATTCATGAAGAGTAGAATTGACACTTATTTATGAAGAAAAAGAATTTAGAAAGCAGTTTTGGCATGACTAGAGAGTGATGTTAAACATGGCAGTAGTTTGATAAGCAAAAGGCAACTACTTTTCGTAGTTCTCTTTTTAGTTATCCATTCAATTTTTAACTGAAATGCTTCTTATATTTTTTAGTAAATGTTAGAAGGATGAGAGTTCATAGAAGAAAATAGGTTCATACATATAAAGAGATCCCCAAAATTTTGCATATTCTTGTCCAACTGTCAATAAGTCATCTATTCATGTTTAATTGATTGTGAGGGATCAATTTGTTAGTTTATCATCCATTAACAAATTTAATATCTAATCACCAAGGAGAGATTAATTCGTTCTTCTCTATAATATAGGGATAAGGTAGCTTACACACTCTAAATTCACTTGTGAAATCCTCATATGTTGGGTATGACTTTTACTTACTGTTGATATTTGATCTAGATTTAAGTGTTTAAGCTTAGATTTTACTATTTTTCCCCTCTAATTGTTTTGCTATAAGTAGGGGTGACTTGTATGTGTTTGAGGGGAAAAATTGAATAAAGCTTTAGATTAGTTTTCCTCCAAAAACCCCTCTCTCCCTTCTCTCCCTCTCCCTCTCCCTCTCATCCAAGAAAAATCAAAGGTGTCATCTTCCTCCAAGAATCCTAACACTTACTGAGTTGAATTTTCATGATTTTATGCTCTCTTAGGCATGTACCTGAACCAAAATTTTTCTTTCCAACCCAGTAAAGCGTCTCTAGTTCTTATAGTAGACGAATGAACATTTTAACTCATTATACCAACCTTAAGCCCATATCTTTTTGCTTTAGTCATGGATGTTCTCACTAGACATTTGCAAGAGGTTGTGCCCCCAGTGTATGTTTTTTGCTAATGATATTTTTCTTGTTGATATGACTAGAGAGAGAGTTGAAGTTAAACTTGAATTATGTAGGCCAATCTTAAAGTCTAAAGGCTTTCATTTGAGTATATCTAAAACTGAATATATGAAGTGTAATTTTAGTAATAATAGATCTAGACGGGGGATTGTGACTTTGGGCGATCAAGTCATTAATAAGAGCACACATTTTAGATATATTGGGTCTATTGTTCAAAGTGATGGTGAAATAGATGAATATATTATTAGTAGAATTCAAGTTGGATGGTTGAAGTGGAGGAATGCATTGGGCTTGCTATGTGATAGAAAAGTCCCTCTCAAACTTATATAGAAAATTCTATAAGATGGTAGTGAGACATGCAATGCTTTATGGTGCAGAATGTTGGCCATTAAAAGAGAAGCATAATATTAAGTTAAATGTTGCAGAGATGAGGACGCTCAGGTGGATGAGCGGCTTTACTCTTAAAAATATGATACAAAATTAGCATATATGTGAAAAGGTTGGAGTAGCTCCAATGAAAGATAAGATTAGAGAGAGTTTCCTTAGATGATTTGATCACATAAAACAGTGGCCTTCCGATGATTCGGTTAGGAAAGTAGATGTATTAGATTTGACTTATATTAAGAAAGATAAATGTAGACTTAAAAAACCTGGTTAGAAAATATTATAAATGACCTACCTTTATTTGATTTAGATGATAATTTGATCCTTAACAGGACACAACGGAGAAAAAAAGATTCATGTAGCCGACCCCACAGTGGGATAAATGATTGTTGTTGTATACTTTCCTCTTGTATCTTTCTACATACAATGGTGAAACCAGGAGGGGCTGAGGGTGGCTCTCGCTCCCTCCTAAATCTGGCTTGAAGCCTATTATAACAATATATGTTATGAAAATTTTACTGATAAACACTCATATAGTTATTTACATATCAAAGCTTTGCCCCCTCTAAGCCTGGTATATCTTTCTCCCCTTCTCTTGTTAAATACTGGATCAATCATTACCTCATACTCCAGTCTTGTATGATGAAAAACACATCATTTTCATAGCAATATGTTCCCTTGGTTTCACTCTTATGAAAACTAATAAAACACAAACTCATCTTTTGTAGCTATTTTAGTTATTTCCATGTTATCTGCAAATCTACTTACACTACATGCTACATATTTATATGATTAGAAGTTCATGTAATTTAACTACAATATCCTGAAAGTCAAATGTTCATATAATATAGCATGAGAAGGATAATCTTACAAAACGTTTAAGTTTGTCCAATTCCCAATGAAGTCTGGCATTTTGCCTGTAAAATTATTGTCTGATGCCCACCTGAATTAGAAATTTTTAGGAGACAAGAAGCAAAATTTCATAAAACTCATGATTTAGGTTTCATTTGGGACGACTTTCTTTTTGCTTCTTAAAGCAGCTTTTTAGTACAAAAATTTTTAATTTTGTACTAGAAAGCTATTTTAAGAAACAGAAAAAAAGCCGTCCCAAACGAAGCCTTAGTCTTTTCGTTTGGGGCGGCTTTCTTGCTGCTTCTTAAAACAGTTTTCTAGCATAAAAATTTGAATTTTTATACTAAAGTTATTTTGAGAAGCAGTAAGAAAGCTGTTTCAAATGAACTTTTATTTAGGTCAGGACACCTGACGTAGCTCTACATCCTGGCGCTAATAAAATGTCGCAACGTGCTCTTACTCTTCACCGCACGGCCCTACGACCCGGCCTGGACCGGAACTCGGTATTGCTATGTATTAGCTAATTTGTGCAGACCAGTGTATTGTTAGGTATTTCTCGTACACTGTTAGGTATTGCTCGATAACGAGAAATACTATTCTGTCAAGACCAATACCGAGCAATACCCTGGTTTTGCTAGGTATTGCTCTGTATTGATCTTGAGAGAGCGATATTTTTCATTATTGCCAAGCAATACCTAGCAATACCGAGCAATACACGAACATATCAATATCGGGTTCCGGTCTGGGTCGAGTCATCGGGCTGCGCGGTAAAGAGTAAGAGCACGTGGCGACATTTTATTGGCGTCCGGATGTACCGCTACGTCAGGTGTCTTGCCTAATAAAAGTTCGTTTCAAACGAACTCTTAATTTATGTGCACATAGAACTTACATTTTTTTTTTCATATAACTTACAATATGTTTAAGGTTGTAAGTTTGGATAGAGAAGTTGGGAGCTCGCCACTTAGTCCAGAACTAGCCATGTACCTGAGAATATGTAAACTTGGAGAACTGAATATATTTGATTTCATTCTTCTTAGTAGCTTTTTTACTATAAAATTGTGATAAAATAACCATTTTTGGAGGCTGCTAAGGCCACCAAACTCTGCTGGAATAGTCCCACTAAAGTTATTTGCCCCCATGCCTCTATCAAAAGGAATAAGACATTGCAAATGTGAGGGAATTGAGCTAAATTCCTACAAAATTGAAATTAGTTGAAAAAACTAAATTCTTCTAATGCCAAATTAGAAAGATTAAAATTAAAAAAATAATAATAAATATACTAATGAACTAATTTTACAATTAAGAAGAGTAAGGGAAAGCAGTCTTACAGTGAAATAAGGTTTTTAAGATTTCCAAGCTCTTTAGGAATGGGTCCAGACAAAGCATTAGTTCCAAAAGTCCTATTTATGATTTTATAATAAGAGTAATAACCATCAAAAAAATTAATTAAGCTCATATTAAGTATGTAAATTGTGCATTGATCTCATGTTAATGAGATTAGAGAAATTGATTTGAAGACTTACAGGTATTGCATGGCTGATAAATTTCCTATAAAAGCAGGCAATGGCCCAGTCAAGTAGTTCTGGGCTAAATTCCTACAGAAGCAATTGGCAAGTCCTCTTCAGAAAACACATTTTGTAGGACATATAGGAAAATTATTAGGTCCGGTCATCTCACAGAGAGATATATTCGGATTTTTTTTTGTCTACAAACACAATTACTGTATCAGTTGTGCTTTGACTATAGACAGAGAAAAATCTGGATGTATCTCTCTGTTTGGTGTCCGGACCTAATAATTTGCCGACATACAGGGCCGGTTTGGGGCAAATCATGACTGCTTTGGTTTTTTAGATCGTAATCATAATTTAATTTGGCTATACTATTTTTATTATTTTTTAAAATTTTTTGTGGAATCTATAAAAATATTGTTGTTTAATTTGTCAAAAAAGAATATATTTATAATACTGAAATAAATAAATAAAATTTAAAAAAATTATTTTCTCCAGATATATTATATTTTAATATATTTAAATTACTAGATAAATACAAGTAAAATATTATATAATACAAATAAAATATTAAATATTTATAATTTTTTTATTATAATTATACTTATATTATCTATTAATTTATTTATAAAATTTAATAATTTAATTGTGTTATTTAATATTTTTTTTATTTAAAGATAACATTGAGAAAAATAAGAATATTTGTGATAAAGGAATTTTTATTGCGTCCTCCCACCTAACGTAGAGCTACATCAGGTAGCCTATGAAATGTCGCCACGTGCACTTACTTTTTACCGCGCGGCCTGACGACCCGACTCGGATCGAATCCGGGATTACTATGTTCGCGTATTGCTCGGTATTGCTAGGTATTACTCGGTATTGCTTGACAATAACAAGAAATATCGCTCTATGAAGACCAATACCGAGCAATATCGAGCAATACCGAGTAATACCTAAAAGAACTCGGTATTTCTCGGTATTGGTTTTCACAGAATAGTATATTTCATTTTTGTCGAGCAAAATCGACCAATACCTAGTAATACCGAGCTATGCAAACTCCCGGGTCCGTTACGGGTCGGGTCATCGGGCCGCGCGGTCAAGAGTAAGAATACGTGGCGACATATCATAGGTTACCTGATGTAGCTCTACGTCAGGTGGAAGGACTCAATAAAAATTCGTGATGAAGGGGCTCTTTGGTTTGTAAAAAATAATGTAATAAGTAAATTTGTGAAATTATTATGATATAGATTAAATCAGAATAAATTTAAAATATAAATTTTAGAGAGAGAGAGAGAGAGAGAGAGAGAGAGAGAGAGAGAGAGAGGATACAATTGGGTAACGTGGCAGACAGTGCTATTGTCGAAAGAGCAATCGCATTTAATGCCAGGGTTAAAGTCGCCGATGTCAGTGGAGTCTACGGCGATGCCGCTACATAGATCGCCGGTGTTGTTCCATGATGATGATGCCGTCTTCCTCCATCTGCTCAGTATAGTGTTCACTGCTCGCGCTGCCATGCGTCAATTTGATCCAAATCATTAGTTATATCATCCACCCATGCATGTATGCCATCATCCACATGTATATATGACTACATGCATGCTTAAGTTTTTTAGCCATCAATCTTATTAAATGCTATCTATTTATTGATTTTCATGTAATTTTTATTTAATTTTTTATTCATATTTTTATGTAGTCAGCACAATTTTTTTAAATTTTATTTTAGTGACAACTAAAATGCATCTTAAAATATTAAATAAGAAAATTTTGAATTTTTATGAGTCATAATACACAATTAATCAAATGCCTCTATCATTTCATGATATACAGACTATACATGGAGATTCATTGTGTACAAAAATGCTCTTGCTATTTTAAATTAAGAATTATAAACCTTATCAAAAATCTTCATAGCATTTTCTTAGGCTTCGTTTGGAGCGGTTTTCTTACTGCTTCTTAAAATGATTTTTTAGTACAAAACTTTTAATTTCTATACTAAAAAATTGTTTTAAGAAGTAATAAAAAAGCCGTCTCAAATGAGGCCTTAGTCTATAATGATTTGAGAGGTCATGTAATCCGTCTATAATGAAGCTTTACAATGAGGCTCTCGACTTTTCAACCGTCATCAATCTATTCAAAATTAGTGTGTTATTTTTATTCTTATTTAAATTTGAGTCCATTCATCACTGAAAGTTGTAAGTTATAAAAAGAAGGAGACTAAAGGATAACCCTAAAATATTCCATAAATGAATAATGCAAACATATGATAAAAGTTTTGAATCTTGTTCAAACTTTGTCGCAAATTAAAACCTAATTCGGATTATACGTCATATTGTTATTGCCTATTAAAACCTTATTTAAATCACGTTCGAACAAAATTTGAACCTTATTTAAACAATATTTGAATCTTATAGCAACCATAGTGAGTTGTTAATTTGAACCACATTAGTATCATGATTGAAGATGTTTGAACATTGGTGGTTTCATTTTTCAAGTGCTTTCCTTCATTGCTTGAGGCAACAAAGATGAGAATTTTATATTTGCCATAAAATAAGTCATTTGAAATTTTAATAAAAAATTATGTAGTACTTACATGTATAGTTTGATGAGTGCATTAAAAAGGCAAAAAATAAGAAGGTTTAATATATAATTTTTTTAATGTATCTTAACCTCAATTTTTTCTCTTCCAATCCATTTTGACTCATTCAAAGTTAATTCAAATTATTATTTTCCCTTTATTAAAAACTAATTAATTCATGAATATGTAGTCATATAATTTTATATATCATATTATGGCTTCGGTTGAGACGGTTTTTCTTAATGTTTTATAAAGTTGCTGTAGAGAAAATCATTTTGAAAAGCAATGAAAAATAAGTGGCCAAAAGTTGTTCTAAACAAAACCTAAAACTAAGAAAAGTCAATCAATTAGCTTATTAATTAGCAAGCAATCATGTCTTACAACAATAATTATTCTTTCTATTCATGAAAAAGGTTCACAATTCAAATACTGTTCCAATCAATAAATATAAATAATTGAAAAAAAAAGTGTCGATATATTCCAAAATAAATAAAATATTCATTTTTTTAATAAATATAACACATAAATAGTTTATAATATACTTATTTTAAAATAAATCCTATTATAATTAAACTTTATCACAATTAAAAATTTGATCAAATGTATATTATCAACTTCATCTTAGAACAATTTATGCATCACAAACTCTTTTAGGAATAAAAAACTATTTAATCATAATTTTAAGAAATATCATGCGATTTGAATACGAGCACTATACAGAGCTCATCTTATATTTCATTTGAGATGGCTTTCTTATTACTTTTTTAAATAGTTTTCTAAATTTTTGTACTATAAAGATGATTCAAGACGCAATAAAAAAGCCCTCCCAAACAAAACCTTAGTCTGTTGGCTAGGAGTTTTAGCCACCAACCAAAAGGTTTTGGATTCGAGTCTTATGTGTGTAGTGTGTGTGTGAGTTTGAATGTCCAAAAAAATGAGCACGTTGGGGGCATCATACGGCTTTAATCAATGAACTATGTCAACAAACACTCGCAATTTTATTCAAAATAAAAGACTAGTGATTTGAACCGCCTCTTAATCTTTGGCCCACAAAAGAATAAGAGCACCCTTTACCACAATTTATTTTTTTTTTATTCTATTGTTCCAATGTTGAATTATAAAATATTTAGCCCTCAAACATAGAATATTAGTGATATAATTATCTCTTTTAATTAATTGGCCCTAAGTCCTTTCATGCTAGCTAAATTTAAAAAAATAAAAAACAAAGGCAATTATTCATTTTGCCCCAATATAAACAATATTTTATGTGGTCTAAAAGGCTATTCTACCTAAGGATTTTTAGTTGAATTTATTGCAAGAATTTCATCCATAATAACTCAGATAAAATTATAGCATTCTCAGCATCAATAATCTTATCTCAATTTTCTTAGCTCTACAACTAATAATTATTGAACATTCTTAATCTTTGAAGTAATTGCATTTGTGAGAACATTAATGCTTTAGAATTTATAAACAAGTGAAATAATTGACATGCAAAAGTTGGATTTGTCATAAGCATGATTATTTGATCAGAATAAATGTAATAGATAGTTAAGATGAGCTAGTATCATTCTAAGTCTTACACTACAGGAAACTTATCAAATACTATCGGAAACTTTCATTTCTACCAAAAAATAGCCGCCGGAAAATTCAGTCGGCATTGGACGACTTTTCTGTAGTGTTAGTTTTAATTATTAGTGTTCTAATAGATTATTTGGTGTTGTTTCTCCATTTTATATTGTTTTTTAAATGTAATTATGTTATATCAAAGTTTGAAACCGACTATGCTAACTCGTTGCATATTGGTTTGAAATATTTTTAAGAATTATGTTCAATTGAATTCGATCGCTCATTCTAACAAAATAGAAATTGAAACCGGCACAATGATAGCTAAAATCCTAGTTTACTAAAGGACTATTTGGTTTGCTGAGAAAGAAGGCAAAGTTTTCGAAATGTAGCAGATTTCAAATTTTGTGTGTTTGTTTTGGAGAAAAATGAATACAATTTAAAATTATAATGAATCACTTTTGTTATTTCTTAGATCATTTTTTATGTATTGTAAACTCATTCGATTTTAGAGGAATTAATTTTTCACTCAAAAGGATTGCTTTGTCGTTGACCGCCGCGTGCCACTGCTAACCGCCGTTAGCCTCCGCCTCCTCCATCTCCACCACCACCCACAACCATCATTCAAATTTAAATTACATTCATTTTACTTCAAGCTAAAAAAAATCACCTTCATTCTTATTACTCTAATCCAAATAACTTCATGTAAGCTAATTAAAAGTAGGTATTGTCTTCTCCTAAGGCAAATTTAAGATTGACCAAAAAAAAAGTTAATGAGAAGGGAAAGAAAATGATCACCCAATTCATTTTTTTTTTTATCAAACAGAACTTATATTATAAAACCACAAGGTTACATCAGTAAGAGACAGCCTACAAAAACAGGCCCAAAATAAAATACAGTCTCCAAGACATTAAAACCAAAAGCAGGAAAAAACTACCAAAAGATGGATATAGAGAGCTCAGTATAAAAAGCCGGGACTCCCAATAGCTCAACTCCGTGCAATGACCATCCAGAAAAGTTAACAAACCAACGGTTGCCGCAAGACAGTCGTTGAGGTGAGGGATCCCTTTCACATCATTGCTCCACCGCAAATTCGATAACACTTATCAAACCGAAACAACAAAAAAGATTCAAAATTGAAATTTATCTTCTTGTACCACCTCTCTTCCAGAATTTGCCCCGAGAACCACCTTTCTGCGATATCCCACTTACCAAATTAAAATTTTTTTAAAATCTATAATTCTCATAAGAATTTTGAAAAAACATGCAACTTTGCAAATACTTTAGGCAAGATAACCCTAATTTATAGAAAAATCTTCAAAAGATTAAAAAATTCTTCCTTTTATCAATCTGTTATATATACGCTGATGGATTTGTGGAAACTATGAGAAAAACAGATGGAAATTAGAGGCTATATAGTAAGGTGGATAAATAAAGCAACGACGTACCTTCTATAGGATCAGTCTTTGGCGCAGCAGAAGAAGCTTGACATCTGCATCTCTCGAAGAAGAGGAAGAAGAGGAAGAAGAAGCACAGAAGGAAGAAAACTTTTGACGAAGCCATTAATTTCTATATGTTTGGGGAGATGAAAGGAAGATTATTTCATAGAATTCATTTGATTTTCATCTCTTTTAAAAGAGTGAGGAAGAAAGAGAGAATATTTGACAGCCACGGGACATTTGATAATTAAGCAGATAATGACATGGCTGGAATGAGGCAGTAAAGGAAGACTTGCTAACTACAAAATATTACAGTAATTATTCGTCTCAGTGGGGCCTGCTCGTCGATAGTAGCTAGCTATTAACGGTCAAGGTCATTCGCCTATCACTTAGATATTGATTCAGCTACGCAAAGTACACACCTCTGAAGCTTGATGGAGTCAGTCCTCAGATCCTAGTTATTTTCATTGAAGGGGACTATGAATATTCACTACAGGAAAATTTTTGTTTACCGGTGGAATTTCCGGTAGAAGCGGCGGTGTAATCGGTAGATATTCTGTCGATAATGTAGCGACGGTTTTATGACGAATTTTTCGCTGGAAACTTACCGGGCTGGATATGACTCAACTTGAATGTAGCCACTAGGTTATATAGGATGATTGTGGAGGCCACCACCTTGGAGGCAAAGATAATAACATGACCGAACAATGACAGTAAGGCTATGCAAAGAGATGATTGGGATGGTCTTCCATCAGAGGTGGCAATAAAGGGAATATAAAAATAATATTATGGAAAAAGATGATCGGTATTCAAGATAGTTCCTCTTCGTGGGGGTGTCAAAACAGGTTGATGGGTCGAATTTGTGTTCGACCTTAAATTGACCAGACCCAATTTTAGTCAATTCGAACCAAAACCACTAATTAACAACCCAAATGACCCGAACCCAACTTGTTTATTAAACAGGTTAACTAGAACCAAAATATTTTGGGTCGGGTTGACAAATCAGGTCATTTCTTGACACCCTACCTCTTCAAGAGCAAGGTGAACTAGATAACCTTGGCCGGGTGGTTGATGACTCAAAGTGATATGTAGAAATTGTCACAAAAAAGAAGAAAACAAAATGATATAAAGTTTGCGAGAAATAAAAATTTTTGAAATTATTCCTCCATGAAAATAATTGGGAATAATGATTAGATGTCGTAGAAGATGGAGTTGATAGAGATAATCCTACTCATGAAAGAAGGGGGACTAAATGACTAGGTTGATATGATTTGACCCTATTAATAATCTCCTCTTGAAGGGAGTGGTGTGAAGTGTATTAATGCACAAATGCCATTAACACAAGCTCAATTAATGTTCAAGTTGGAATCCCCCTATTCGATCTCTTATTGGTTTGATGGAAGAGAAAGGATTAAAGGAATTTTTCGGCCTAGATAACTTGGTTGAAAGAAATTGTATTATAATTAGATATGAACTAAGGTTCAAAATTTTGTTTGAACTTAATTTGAATCACTTCAAATTCAAATCGGTTCGAATCACTTTTGAATGACTTGCATGTTTTATGAGCAGATCACATAGACAAGAGACTTTTTATTTGAGATAACTTCATCCAAAATAGACTTCAGTCATATTTTTTTAAATAAATATACAATGAAAATACTTATAATATGAGATATATAAAGTTAAATTTTCTCTAAGTTATAGAATATCTTTTCAATGGGATAATTTTTTTAGGTCATACTTACAAATTTTTATCATATACATAAAAAATGATTTGACTTTCTAAGAACTTAAACCATTCAACTTCATTTTCAACTTACAATAAGGCTTCGTTTGTAGCGGCTTTTTTAATGCTTCTTAAAGTAATTATTTAGTACAAAAATAAAAAATTTTAAACTAAAAATCTTCTTTAAGAAGCAGTAATAAAACTGTCCCAAACGAAGCCTAAATCTAAAGTTGAATACAATTCAAAGGAAAAAAAAAAACGAGTTTGAACTTTTATTGACTTGTTTGTTTTTCTTAACTCTTTTTTACTTGATATTTCTATGTAATTAATATCAGCATTTGCTTGTAGGACTCTTAATGCAACATTATCATTTGAATTCGACTGCCACAATTTCATAATAATATTTGTAGCTAAGTCTCTTAGATCAAGTCCTTTCCTAATCTTAAAGTTATTGTATTTAATACACCTTTGAGGATATCATTAATGATCTCGAAATCTCATTGGTTATTACAAATTCCTGTGATGTTGACACGACTATTATTATAATAAAAAAATTATAAGAAAATCATTTAGGTTTTTTTTTTAATTATATTTTCATAGACCATTTAATAAATAAATTATGTTTCATTTAATTTGTTTAGAGAATATAGAATATTAATCCTATTAATATCTTTGTCTAAGTCAAAAAAATGTGTGCTGAATTATTTGATAATTTTATTAATAAAAAATTAATTTATTCCCCATTAGTTAATAAAATTAGTTTTTATTCTCAGAAGAACACTTTTACTTCATAGTATGTGCACAAATTTATGTGGGAGATGGAGACAGATGCTAAAATGTTAAACATAGCGTCTGTTTGGAATAGCTTTTATATTGTTTTATTTTTCATATTGTAATTACAATTTTTATTTAGTTATTGTTGTTTCTTTATTTTTTAAAAAAAATTGTGCTAAAAAACGGCTTTTTATAACAATTTTTAAAAAAGTTATTATTCCACAATAATTTTACCACCCTGAAGAAATGTTGAAGCCATTCCAAATTAAATAGGAGAAATTATTAGATGTGGTCATCAAACCGTCCAGAGGTGAATCAGGATGTGCCATGTCAACCTGATACATAGCGGTATATAGCACTGGTAAACAACAAATGGTGACGTAGCGCGTGCTGATTCGCCTCTGGATAATATTAGGTGATCGCACTTAATAATTTCATCCTAAATAGGCCCTTAGGGTCATCTCTAAGATTAGAGAACCTAGCTTGATAGAATTTTGGTGTGTTTGAACTTTGAAATTGTTGAATTTGTTTTAAGATTAATTTTATATATAACGAATTTATATTACACTGATCTTGAAACAAATTCATTGTTTTTAAAGCCCATCAATAAAAAATTCTATCGATATATTATATTGAGATTAGTGCAATTTTAGATATCATATATAACACGAATTTTAGTGTAAACCTAAGGGTTTCGAAGTCCATCATGATGCATTCTATATCACGTGTATGATATTATATTGTGATTTTTATTTTTCTATTTTGAAATGTATAAAAAAGAAAAATTAATAGATAAATAATAAATAATAATTTGATAAAAAAATATAATTTTTAAATATTTTTAATAATTTCATTCTTGAACTCTTAAATTCTAATATATTTAAAATGCACTTTATAGTAAAAATTTTTAAACAAGCCGGCTCGTAAGCTAGCGAGTATTTGCTCGTTAGCTGATCGAGCTAGGCTCATGAGCTGTTTATCGAGTCAAGCTCGAGGAATTCTAATATATTTAAAATGCACTTTATAGTAAAAATTTTTAAACAAGCCGGCTCGTAAGCTAGCGAGTATTTGCTCGTTAGCTGATCGAGCTAGGCTCATGAGCTGTTTATCGAGTCAAGCTCGAGTCAGCTCATAAATCTGCCTGACTCATTTACAATCCTAGAGCTAATTAGGTAGCTTAACAAGTAGCTTTCTGCCATGGCTAGGAATATTATCCTAGTATGATAAAGAATCAAGATCCACCTACTAACTTAATAAGGTCATAAGGAGGTTCTCTAGAGGGGCTGAGGTCACAGCAAGCTAAAAGAAGTTGCAGAGCTAGGGTTGCCAAAAGTATACATCAAAGCATCGAGGAGAGGTCAACAATAGAACCATCAACTGTAAGTTTGTATGTTAAATGATGTTAAGAAAGCCTCAATTGCATTGCACTGTAAATGATTTAGACTTGGAAGAAGATGGATCACCTTCCTTCCCTAATAGAGTTGTGCCTTAAAGGCACATCAGCTGAAGGATCAATCCCCATATAAGTTACAGTACTGCTTGGATCTGATGGCTCGCTAGTTTGAATATTTGTTAGTGCTGTGCTTAAGCTTGTTGATCTTGAACAATCATCATTAGCAAAATTGCTGCTTATGTCATTAAATTGCCATTCTGTTAAATAGCTAGGCCTTGAGGTGACCTCATTAACCTCGACATCGCCGGCCAACATGGCCACCACTCTTGACATCGGTGGTCGTAATGCCGGCGATGCTTGGATGCATAGAAGAGCAACGCCAAATACTCTAATCGCTTCATCTCTATTATATGATGGTAGAATTGGGTCCACCAAGTCCAGTTCATGTTTTTGTTCATATAAACGCCAAGCCTGAAATATAAGAAAAAAGTTCTGGTTAGATACTGCATTTTGTTATATTTTCATGTTTTGTTAACCTTTCAATGATGGATAAGAAAATTAAGGAGAATATGTTAAAATGTATGCACTAGTGATTTAAATCCATTTTAACGCTTCTCTTTGTACTATTTATAATACCTCTGTTGAAGGACGCTACCTTTCGTTGGTAATTTAATAATATTTTTGTTTTCAATCTTCAATTTCTTCATATTTTTTTAATAATCAAGTCATTGAATTTGTATATTTTTTTTTCTCTCTACATCAAATAGCACGCATAAATTTGAATGACAGATTGATACTTTTTTTTTTTAAATGTAAGATTAAGAACTGATTGCCTACCCAGTCAAGCAAGTAAACTTTGTCTTCCTCAAGAGTAGAGTCTGAATTAGGCCTTCCACTGAGAACTTCAAGAGCAACAACTCCAAAACCAAACACATCTGCCTTTTCTGTTAAATGTCCTCTCATAGCATATTCAGGTGCAAGATAACCTCTGCAAAGATCATAATTTTGAATTATAAATGATGTAGAACAACATAAAGAATGATAGAAATTTTAGTAAAAACAACAATTTAACAGTAAATATCAAATTCCTCACATACATTGTGCCTGCAACTCTTGTGCTAATGTGAGTCTTTTTGTCATCGTAAAGTTTTGCCAGACCAAAATCTGATATCTTTGGGTTAAGATTTCTATCTAATAGAATGTTGCTAGATTTTACATCCCTATGAACAATTTTCACACTTGATTCCTCATGAAGATAGGCTAAGCCTCTTGCTGTGCCTAAACAAATCTCAAAGCGCATTCTCCAATTAAGAAGCAAAACATTTTTCCCTGCAAAATGAGAACAATTATATGCCTGAATGCTTTCAGATTTGGCTATGTTTTTTTGGATGTTTTAGAACATACCAAAAATAGCTTTGTCCAAGCTCTTATTTTCTAGGTACTCATAAACCAAGAGTCTCTTGTCTCCCTCAATGCAGCAACCATACAACTTAACTAGATAACGCTGTTGAACTGCTGATATAATTGCTATTTCTGCCATAAATTGGCTCTTCCCATGATGAGATGCTACTAATAGTTGCTTTACTGCCACCATTCTTCCATCATATAATTTACCCTTAGATGAAACAAATAAATGCAGTTTACTCTCATTGCTTTTGATAAATCACTGCAGAATATTAGTATCATATTGAAATATGAAAAGGGTGATAATATAAAACTATTTTATGCAAAATTATATGGTAAAATTAAATTTAATGTTGTCATATATAGGCAAAAGTAAACCTTATATACAGGCCCAAATCCTCCCTCTCCAAGCAAATTAGACTGGTTGAAATCCTCAGTTGCTGCTCTCAATTCAGAATAGCTGAATGTATTTGGTCTAACAGCCATTCCTAATAACTCTGTATTATTTGACATAAATGAAATCAAAATTAACTTAGTCAAATTAAGAAAATTTAATATAAACATTCATTTGTTTACACATAATGAAAAATTTATATTCCTTACAGAAGTTTACCTTCTTCATCTTTGTTAACATTTTTTTTCTTTTGTCTCCACACTAATATTGCAAAAATGACAAGTCCCAGCACTACACCAGCTATGATTCCTACAATTAGACCTGTTTTATTACTTGATGAAGAGGAATTTGGGGCTTTGTTACTGACAGATGGGATGAAAGCTGTACACAATGATATTAGTAAGATAATTTGCAGGTTAATGAGAAATTTCACTAAAATTTCGTATGAAAATTCATACCAGGAGATACGCTGATTGCACAAATGGATGGACCATAGTAGCCTTGACTAGGAATAAAACTTGTTCCCTTTCCAGCCCAAAAAAAATGTATTTCTAGGAAGTTGTTCGTTACAGGTGTTCGGTACTCCTTCACGACTGCTGTAAAAGATTTCCCACCAGCTTCCTTCCTTATATCAAAATCCTTCTCTATAAGCTTTTCCTGAATTATATATTCTTATCCTTTAAGCAAGTTGAAGATAAGAAAAAATTATAGAAGTTATGTCATAAGTTAGTTTCATTTACACTAGCTTACATATATAAAGATAGATATCTTACTACCATTCAAAAAGTACTCAATTTGATTAAAATTTTACTTATTTATTTTGATATAGCTGGTCTAACAAATATAAATAAATATCAATGTGTGGTTTGCTTACCTGTAAATAAATATCAAAAACTCTTCTTCCTAAACTCTTCCAGGTGGGTGGATCTATTAGTCCAATCTCAGAAAACTGTAGTTTTACAGTGTAGTTCCCATTTTCAAGTCCTAAGCCATAGTATCTTAATGAAGAAGGTGACATCCTTGCAGTCTGAAAAAGTTCTTGATCCAGTGTGTTCGCTGATAGGGTCTGAGAACTAATTATATAATTTGTATTAGGATTTGAGGCACCTGCAAAGCTTCCAGTGTTGCTTACTGCCCATTTGATAGGATTAGTCACATAATAAGAAGCTGTAGTGAGAGTAGCATTATCCTTATCATAGCTAGTTCCATCAGAACTCATCAAATCTGAACTTCCACCACACTTTATTCCGAATTGAGAATCTGTAAGTTCAATATTTTAAACATGTTTAATTATGAATATAATATATCATAACTCCTATAGGAGGCTTTCGTTGTTCGCGAGGTGAAGAAAATGTAGAAATATGTGAAGAATGACTTACAAACTGGTGAGCCACGGTAGCATGATTTGTCTCTCTGAAGACACTCCAATCCTGAAGGCAAGACACTGAGAGTAAATTTGTAGATAAATTTCAAGTTAATGTATGAATCAAAATGAAGTTAAGCTTACACAACAGAGTAAATGAGGATAGTTACCTTTTATTAGAATTGTCAATGACAAAGTTATTGGCGACCAAGTTCCTATCGACAGGAAAAAAATAAGTCTAAATTTGTGCTTTCTTTTTTATTTAAAACGAAGCAAAAGAATTGTTATTTGAAAGAACTGACGGTCAAGCTGTTACCATATCTAAATTATCAATCGCACATGCTAATTATTTATACTAAGAATGCATATTATATGTTATTGTTATATTTCTTTATTATTAATGATATTCTTCATTATTTTGTATTTCTTTATTATATGTTTATACCAAGACCATAATTCACTAAAGATTTAGGCTTCGTTTGAGACTACTTTCTTACTGCTTCTTAAAATAGCTTTTTAGTACAAAAATTAATAAGCAATAAGAAAACTGTTTTAAGAAGCAATAAGAAAGCTGTCCCAAATGAAATCTTAGTCATTTAAAATACTCTCTATGCTAACATGTCAATTAGAGCTAAAGTTTTATATTTATTGTCTGACATCTCTACATTATAATGTACATTGCAATGTAAGCCTAGTCATTCACTTCATCCTCTCACTTTGACCTTCTCTCAAAGTTTTTTAATTCCATCTTGAGGCATTTGCCCTCTTTTATTTCTCATAGATTTATATACCCTCATGACCTCTTTTGTTCTTCATCAATAATAACCTGGTGACTTTTATCCTTGTTATGTTGGCCTCTTCCTTGATGATACTCTTCATAGGAGCATATATGATTGTACTAAGATGTCAACTCGGTAAATATTTAACCCTTCAATTTCTCTCTCCCTTGTTACGAAAGCAATGATGACTAAACCTTTCAACGTATAAATTATTAATAGTTGTGTAATTTTCTAACATAACATTAGTTCCATACTATTTTAGGGTTTATTTGGGACGTCTTTTTTACCGTTTTATAAAGCTACTTTTTAATATAAAATCTCTTGAAAGCAAGAGAAAAGCAATGGTCTACAACTGTCCCAAACGAAACCTTAATCTCACTTCTTGCCTATGTTTTCAAAAATGAGTGACGTCTCCATTAAATTAACTATAAACTTAAACTTCTATGACCTATTTTGTGCAAGAAAATACCTTATAATTTTTCTATTTTGATAGTTGCAAAAAGTTTTAGAGTTATAAAGCTACTAATATCGGGTAAGAAGGAAGAAGAATGATGGGCTGAATTTAAAAACAAAAAACAAAAAAAATTCATTTACAACCAATGGAACTCCCACCCTTCATACATCTCTGTAAGCACATGAAAAGAAGAAATAGTGCAATGGTATGGCAAGACTTTCATGGCTAAGAGAATAATGCAATTAGTAGAGGAAAAAATATAGCTTTTTTTCTACAACTTACAGCTCTAAGTTTGGATCATTGACCCAAGATGGAAAGCTTCCAGTCAATTGATTGTATGATAGATCTCTGAAGAGTTAAAAAGGAATTGATAATTAGTTGAAAATCTTATATTTCATCAAAGAATATAACATTTCTAGATTTGTCACTATGGCAAGAAAATTTCCCAAGCTATAATATACTACTACAACAATAACAAATCTTTATCCCACTACATGGAATAGCTATAATATAGTAGAAAGAAAATTATTTTGAACTCATTACATGCTACTGAGTGATGCGCTCTTTGTTTTTGGTAAGTCGCCCAGTAAGTAATTGTTCCCAAGAAATCTGTTGTGGAAGGCAGCAGAAAAAATATAAATTAGTCTTGTAATTGTATCATTGAAAATTTTAAGTGAGAATTATGAGACATAGAAGCAAGTAGGCTTTTCGTACAATAATTGCAGAGAGTTCAAGTTGAGAAGAGACTGTGGAACATTGCCTATAATATTGTTGAAGCTCAAATCCCTTTGTAAGAAAACAAAAAAAAAAAAAACTTAGTTTGCATTGAAGTAATGAGTGCTACTTCATTTTCATTTAAACAAAAGGACTAACAATTTAATTAAACTTGTATATTTTGTGAAGTTTGATGGAATAGTATCAGAAATCTTGGCGTTCCTTATGATCCTGCAAGGAGTTAAATTTATACAAAATTAAAGTTATGCGACAAATAAAATAAAAAGATGTAGATTGTTGATTGTAAGCATGGATCAACCCTTACAGTGTGCTTAGAGATGTCATATTACTAATGAATCCCAGCGATGAACTCCCATTTATTATGTCTCCTATTCGTCTGAGAATAGAGCATGCAATATTTCTTATTAGATAAACAATAAACATAAGATTAAGGCTCCGTTTAGGCTGACTTTCTTACTGCTTCTTAAAGCAGTTTTTATACTAAAAGTTGTTGTAATAAGCAGTAAAAAAGTTGTCTCAAACAAAACCTAAATGATTGGGTACAACCCTACGAATAGTCAATCATGAGGTTATAAATAAATCCATACAAAACTATTTGCATGATGCTATCCTCAGCTAATAATTTTTTTAACAAAATTGTGCCTATTCAGCAAAGGCATATTTACTATTAAGCATAAAGGGGGGAAATACTTACAAATCAGAAAGGTTGGTGAGACCAGAAAAGCTTGAAGGAATTGGACCACTGAAGGAGTTCCCTTGCATCCTCCTATCAGAACATCGTTTAGTAATGGAAACCTCTAATTAATTTATTTCCTAGAAATCTTTATATGAGTGCAAGTCCAATTATGGAGAGTTGCCTTGACACTTATGCTTCGTTTGGTACGGCTTTTTTATTGCTTCCTAAAGCAGCTTCATAGTATAAAAATTTTAATTTTTGTACTAGGAAGCTGCTTTAGGAAGCAGAAAGAAAGCCGTCCTAAACGAAGCCTTAATTCGAGAGCTATGAAAGGTAATCTTACAAAACGTTTAGATTTTTCCAAGTCCCAATGAAGCCGGGTATTTTACCCGTAAAATCATTGTCTGATATCCACCTGAATTAACAATTTTTATGTGATAAGAAGTAAATTTCTTAAACTTACTAAAGATTTCAGTGCACATAGAACTTACAGTGTCTGCAAGGTTGTAAGTTTCGATAGAGAAGCTGGGAGCTCACCACTTAGTCCAGAGCTATCCGTGTACCTGAGAATTGAACAGTAAACCTTATATAAACTTAAGGAACTGAAATCTTTATCATCTAATATCTTTAAATGAAAGAGTGAACAAGAAGTATTTTATTTCATTCTTGTTAGTAGAAGTTATACTGCAGTGTTATGATAATATAACCATTGTTGTAGGCTGCTAAGACCGCCAAGCTCTGGTGGAATAGCCCCATTGAAGTTGTTTGGCCCCATGCCTCTGCCACAAGTAAGATAAAATAAAACAAAACAAAACAAATCAAATCAAATGATCCTGATCATTTTTGGCTAGAGATAGAAATCCTATGGTGAATTCCTAATAAAAGAAATTCTTAAGATTTATTAAATCCTGCTTGTAGTCAAACCGCCCCTAAGGCTTCGTTTGGGATGACTTTTTTATTGCTTCTTAAAGCAGTTTTCTACTATAATTAAATATTTTAATTTTTTACTAAAAACTTGTTTTAAGAAGAAGTAAAAAAAGTCACCCCAAACGAAGCCTAAGGCTTAAGCCTTCGTTTGGGAAAACAGCTTTTTAGTACAAAATTAAAATATTTGTACTAGAAAGTTGCTTTAAGAAGCAATTTAAAAGCCGTCTCAAACGAAGCCTAAAGCTTTGTTTGGGACGGCTTTCTTACTGCTTCTTGAATCAACTTTTTAGTACCAAAATATTAACTTTTATATTAAAAAGCTGCTTCAAGAAGCAATAAAAAAATTCGTCCCAAACAAAACCCAACTCTTCCTTCATTGAAGGCATCAAACTTCAATATTTTTACATGGCTGGAAGAAAAATAATCTTCTGCTAGAGTTGGAAAGAGGAAATAAATAAAAAGCAATAAAACAACTAATTAATTAATTTTAGCTTCAAGAAAAGTGCTTTCTAAACTCCAAGAAGGGAAGTAATTCTTACAGTGAAATAAGATTTTTCAGATTCCCCAGCTCTTTTGGAATTGGTCCAGACAATGCATTAGTTCCAAAATTCCTATGTATGATTTTATAATAAAATTAATAATAATCAAGCAATTAATGTAGTTCATATATATATATATATGTTAGCATATTTTGATGTAAAATGTATAAGATGAACTTTATAATTCTTAGATTTGTGTTGAGATTAGTGCAATTCAGAACATTATATGTAGCACTAATTATAATGCAAATCTAAGAATTTTCATAATTTTTTTCCTCAAATTAAAGGAAATTAGATAAACTGACTTATTGACTTACAGGTATTGCAATGATGATAAGTTTCCTACAAAAGCAGGCAATGGCCCAGTCAAGTAATTCCGACCAAGATCCCTACAAAAGCAACTGGTAAGGCTTTGTCTGAAACAGCTTCTCGATTGATTCCGTGGTATGAAATGCAGCTAATAAAACATAAAGTGTGTTTCAAAAAGCTGTTTTTGAAAAAGCATTTTTTAAAACTATTGTTGCGAAAAAACTTTTATAAGCATGAACAAAAAAACTTAAACTGCCTAAACAAATCTAATCTCCTTGAAAAGCACATTTTTTTACTAATACATTAGAAAAAATTAGTAAAGAATGTCATATCCTCACCAAAATTTGATCAAAATAGATCTTAATGACCTTAAAATTATTAAATTTGTTTTTAAATAAATGCAATATTATATTATATTTTCCTTAAATTAAATTAAATTTAAAATTTGTCTTCATAAAATATTTAATCTATATATTCTATATATATATTAAAAAAAGAAACTTACAGATTCCAAAGATAAGTAAGGTTGCTGAGCTCCTCTGGAAATGTGCCAATTACATCAAGTTCATACACCTTGCTGTAAAAGGAATTAAAAGATCAAGCTAAAGAATATATTTTTAAATATATATATTTTAATGTAGTTTAGATATTAAAGTATCATATAAATAAATATAATAATTTCACTATTAAATATTTAAATAAATAATAATTTTGTTATATTTCTATGAATTCTCATATAAAAAAATTTTCATCATGATATTTAAATATTAGGATGAAACCAATTATTCTCTTAAATATCATTAAAGTTTTTTTTTTAATTTATTGCTCATGAATTATAAGCATAAAAAAATTTAATAGATTATTTTGATTAATGATAAGATAATTGTAATTTTTAAAATATAACATTTTCAAATAATTAGATTAAATATATTATTGAAATTGATTAACAAAACAATATGCGTAATATTCAAATTTAAAATTCTATTTTCTCTTATTTAATTTCATTCGCATTTCGGAGTGCGGACGGGGTGAGAACCGTCCGCACAGACACAGGGTATCAAGCGGTACCCAGTGGTACCGAATGATACCGAACGATACCAAGCGCGATTTTATACTAGTGTGCGGACGATTCTCCCGTCCGCACTGTACCTAATAATTTCTCGTGGCGAAGATAACAAAGTCAAATGGCCACTTAATACTAAAATTTTTTAAGGAAATTATAAGAGTGAACGGGCAATTGCGGTCAACAGTCTAACTTGGCGGCTCGCTCTCACACTACCTGCAATGCGCCAAAATTTTTTTATTTATATTTATTATTATTATATTTATTATTATTTGGGATGGTTTTTTTATTGATTCTTGAAGCATTTTTTTTGTATTAAAATTATATTTTTTTTACTAGAAAGTTGATTTAAGAAGCAATAAGAAAGCTGTCGCAAACCAAGCCTTATGCTTCATTTGGGACGGCTTTCTCACTGCTTCTTAAAGCATTTTTCTTGTATAAAAATATTAATTTTTAAACTAAAAATCTGTTTTAAGAAGCAATAAAAAAATCGTCCCAAACGGAGTCTAAATCTTTGAAACTAATTATATTTATGTGAAAATTAAGGCTTAAGAATCAAACATCAACTAAAAAGCACTTACGAAAGTTAAAATAATCATAAGAATGATAATTATAAATCAAAATTAAGGTGCTTTTCCATCTGAAGGAATTCAATTCATATTTTAACCCTAACAGAAAATTAATTAATTCAAGTACATATAATCAAACAAAACATATTAAGCCATTAATGAGACACCTTAAGCTTATAAATTATCAGAAGCTTTTCTAATCTAACCCTAAAAACAAGAAACTGGAGGATGTTTAGTTAATTAGGTAGCTCGGCGTACCTTCAATAGGATCAGTCTTTGCCGCAGCAGAAGATTCAGATCTGCATCTCTCGAAGAAGAGGAAGAAAGACCACAAAAGGAAGAAGAAGATTGAAACTTTTGATGAAGCCATTAATTTCTATTTGTATGGGAAAATTCATTACATTTTGATCTCCTTTAAGTAGAGGAGGAAGAAGGAGAGAGAATGTTTGACCGTCACAAGAGATTTGGTAATTAAGCAGATAATGACACAGCGCCATTATTGAAGTAGCTTTCGCACAGAAGATTTATATATGTTTATATAATACATCTCACTTGCGTGGAAGAATCATACTTCTTTAATGTTGAGGGTTATCATACCATTAAATCATTAATTATATTGTTAATTATGTTGTTAATTGTTAATTAATGATAATGTTTAATGTTTCAACTCATAAAGCCTCCTTGAATGATTTGTGGGAGTAGACACCTTTGGTTCTCATTTTAATTTAGAGGAATTTACATGCATATCATTATATTTTGATGTAATATTATATATATAATATTTAAATATTTATATTTATTTATAGAACATTTCAATTTTTAATTTTATAAAGAATATTATTAATATTAATGTTGCGTGCTAGAATATACGCGGTGATAGAGTTAAAATATCGCGTCTTTGTATGGATATTCAGCTCACACACAGAGAACACAAGATATTTTTAAGTGAAAAATCCTTGAAAGGGGAAAAACTACAAGGTCTCACTTAGTCTGAAATGATTCCACTAGTGTTTGGGAAGATTACAATGGGTTGACTCGTCCTTGAGGACGATTAGATTACAAATGTCAATCGTTTGGTTGAAATCTAGTGACAAACGGGAATGAAAGTCTAGCGGCACTAGGTGGACTGGCACAAGTTCGGTGCTACTTGGTAATTCGGGCGTCAGTTGGTAGCTTGGCATTGGTTTGGTAGAACTTCAGCGTCGGGCGATGGTTCGGCAGAAATCCGGCGTCAGATCGATGGTGGTCCAGCGGAACTCCGGGTGTCAAGTGATGGTTTGGCAGAACTTCAAGCATACTTCTGGCTTCAAGTGGTGGTCTGGTAGAACTCTGGGCGTCAGGTGAGGGTCTGTCAGAACTTCGGGCCTCAGGTGGTAGTCTGACGGAACTCAGGGCCTCAAGTGGTGGTCTAGCAGAGCTCAGGATCTCAAGTGGTGGTACGGCAGAAGTCCGAGCCTAAGAAGGTGGTCTGGTGGAGCTCAGGTCCTTAGGTGGTGGTTCGGTAGAACTACAAGCGTTGGTCGAGGAGGCAAGAGCGATCTCCAATCTCTCTCTTTTCTCCTTAGGCTTAGGGGTCCCCTTTCAAGAGGAAGGAGAGGTCCATTTATAGATTTCCTAGAGTGTCATGACACATAAATAGGAGGAAGATCAAGGGTAGTTGGGAAGTAGTTTGGGTGGACGGCCGATATTGAATCTCTTGATCGTGGACCGATCGCTAGATATTTGAAGGTCTTAATAATGTCGAAATTTCGTGATCTTAGGCTCGTTAGATTCGTCTCATTGAGCCACTCTATTTGACTATAAGTATGTCACGTTTGGAAACCGTTTGGTAATTCAAATTGTTGTTTGAATCTTCCAACAACGCTTCTGGCCCTTGATTTGGACCCATTTGGGCTCAGATTGAGTCGAACTTGTTGTCGATGGGTTTGTATTTCCGAAACGTTTAGTTCGACTATAAGTTTGCTGAAATTAAAGTAGAGATGGTCCCAATTTTAATTTTGGAAGTTTCCAACTTGATTTTCCCTTGAGATTCGTGCTCGATCAAGATAATTTTTTGAAGACATATCAATTAATTTATTTAAAATTAAATGTATATTTTTATGTATATATTTTGATATGAATTTATCACAAATAATTCAAGCAGCAGAACACACGTAGTGGGATAAAATCTTATTGCTATTGTTGTTGTTGTTATTATTATTATTATAGTGTAAAGATATTAATTTGTTGGCCTTTATTCAACAACTTTCTTAATGAAAGAACATGCAAAGGTTGGCATGCATTGAATTATCAACAAAGTCAAGCCAAACTCAATAAAAGCCTCTAAATAGGAACCAATTAAATTTTAATTTAGTATATGTTGAACAAATTTAACCATATTGTTGCCTTGTACAGGATCGTTTGGTACCTAGAAGAAAGACACAACAAGAACAAACAAACACAGGGAAAGGTAGCAGGAAATACCTCTGTATATTGGTATTCTCTCTTGAGAAACTGAGTGTAGAAGATAACAAAAAGCTACTTTCTCCTCTACAATTCTCCTATATGTATTTTCTGTTTTACTATCTATTTTTCCCATATTTAAAAAGCTGTAAAATACTTAAAAAGAGCTCACAGGAGGAAAAGTATACTAGGTAGTGGAGAATAAAAAGTTAATTAGAGAAACCAAGTGTGCCGCCGGACTTATTTAGTAATCCTGCACTGCATCAGTCCTCCCCGGCTTCAGAAGAGCTCGACTCCGACGAGCTAAGGGAGATTGGGGCATCATCAGTGGAATGATATGGCTATATGTCGGAGACGTTGAAAGTAGCGGAAGTATTGCAACCGGGTGGCAACTCTACGCGATAAGCATTGTCATTATACTTTGCAGTGATAGGGACCGGACCAATTTTTCGACGAGCCATCTTCGAATACTCTCCTGGAGCAAATCGTTCGCGGCGAAGGCGAACTAACACCAAATCCCCTACCTCAAAAAGTTTCTTCCTGCGATGAGTATCAACGGCCTATTTATAGCGATTATTGGACTTTATAATCTGCTGCTTAACGTCTGAAAGCATTTTGGAATAATCTTCGGAGAAGGACGCAGCCGCCGTGGACTTGCATTTAGGCAGAACAATGATATTGACAGCAATATTAGGTGCTTTGGTGTAAACAATGGAGAATGGGGCCTTACCGGTCGAGCGATTGGGCATGGCATTATACGCAAATTCAGCCTTACTAAGAACCTCCTCCCATTGCTTCGGATGCTCTTGAACTAAGCAACGGAGCATATTTCCCAATGTACGGTTAACGACTTCGGTTTGGCTGTCCGATTGAGGGTGATAAGCCGAACTAAATCGTAATTCGGTGCCCAAACGCTTCCACAATTCACGCCAGAAATGGCTTAGGAACTTGACGTCTCTATCGGAGGTGATGCTCCTCGGTAACCCATGCAGGCGAACAACCTC